GACCCAGCGACCTTCTTGCAGTGAGGCGAAAGTGCTACCCACTGCGCCACTTAAAAACTTTTCAGTACTCTTCATTTTAAGTCTTGCCTCATTTTTCCGTAAGGCTTTTTAAATCACTCAGTATAAATTACTTTCATGTTCTGCTAGATTAAATTACAATATTATATTATTTCCTCAACATTTTGACAGATCAGTTAATTCGGTCATTTACATTGCAAGTTATTTGAAGCGTTAAAATTTGATACAGACAAATGGATTATGTTTAATCTATATATACTTCAGTGCCTTTATTTTAAAAGGATATTTAGTTAACACATATATACAGTTGGTCAGAATTATTAGCCCCCTTAAATGACTTTTTTTTTCTTTTTTATAAATTTCCCAAATGATTTAACAGAGCAAGGAAATCTTCACACTATGTCTGATAATATTTTTTTTCTTCTGGAGAAAGTCTGGTTTGTTTTATTTCAGCAAGAATAAAAGCAGTTTTTAATTTTTTAAAAACCATTTTAAAGTCAATATTATTAGCCCCTTTAAGCTATAGATTTTTCTGATAGTCTACAGAACAAACCATCGATATACAATAACTTGCCAAATTACCCTAACCTACCTAGTTAACCTAATTAACCTAGTTAAGCCTTTAAATGTCACTTTAAGCTGTATAGAAATTTCTTGATAAATAACTAGTCAAATATTACTGTCATCATGGCAAAGAGAAAATAAATCGGTTATTTTAAATGAGTTAATAAAACTATTATATTTAGAAAAATGTTGAAAAAAAATTCTCTCCGTTACACAGATATTAGAGAAAAAATTAAACAGGGGTCTGATAATTCTGACTTCAACTGTTCAATTCTTCAACTCTTCAACTAAAATAATAATTACATTAAAACCTATACTTTGACCCAGATACCATATTCCAGCATGTTACGAAAAAAGTACACTGCTCTAGCAACATGTTTTATAAATGGCATCGCTATATGGAGGTTATGATTGACATATCAAAGCTAACCCACTTACATTTAGATTAGTGAAAGATATATGTAGGAGGATCAAGGGATACGAGTTTAATATCTGAGAAATCACTGCTATAAAAATATTAATCACAGGGAAGCACCGTTACATCCTCTCTATTATACAGTTATAAAAATTCCTTATAGAAAATCCCAGTCAACAATGTTAGCTCTTGAAATGTGAAGGAATAATTAGTTACAGTAATTAAAATGTTGAAGAGAAGAAACTGCCACATTCTGTTAGTATACCATAGCAAATGTGAAAAATATATGTGTATATATGAAAGCACATTAGAGACACTAGAAGCCATTTAGCATGATGGGTTTACAGATATCGTTGATATTAAAAGGATCATCCAAAGTTATTAAATGGTTCAGACAAAATAGGCACATCATGCTGTTTCAACTCTGGGGATGTTTATATTTTTGATGCCAGTTGACACACTGGGTTAAGCTGCATGTTGCATTTGTATTTTTAAAAAGCTGTTTTAATGGCAGGTTATGAAACCCTGCTTGATGTTTACAAAAAACAAATAATCAAAAAAGCCTAAATGTATACCTCATGAAATATTTAAGTACCTATAAGTCCATTTATGTTTATAACACAAATTATCTCCCCTGCCACAGCTCTCAAATCATATTTGAGCAATTTAAATATAAACATACAGTATGATGAGACACATAACAACCAATTTCAGGTGATCTGTTCCTTTTACAGGCCGTTGATCAGAGTGGAATCCATTATTGCACACCCTCCTGTGATGGACCTAAACATCTGTACATTTAACCGTAAACTAAAAGCACTTTTATTATACCTATACAGTTTTACTCAGTGTTTGTGCAGAAACTGACTGATATTGAGAAGTTCCTGAGGCCAGTTTTGTGTAAATTTACAACTACGGTTGGATACCAAAACCACTGCTACCCCTTACTGGTACTGTATCGAATCAGAACACAGATTTTGTTGGTTCAGGATGCCAGTGCCACTTAAAGGTGCAGTAGAAATGACACTATAGCTCATTCATTCATTCATTCATTCATTTTCTTGTCGGCCTAATCCCTTTATTAATCCAGGGTCGCCACAGCGGAGTGAACCATTTTCCAGCACGTTTTTACGCAGCGGATGCCCTTCCAGCCGCAACCCATCTCTGGGAAAACAACTATAGCTATTGTAGTCCAAATTCAAAATTTGGGAGATAGTTTTTTTTTTTTTACCAGGCCTCTCTTCCAATGACTTGACGCAAATGCAAGCTGTCAGTTTGACAACACAAACAGCAAGAGCCTTAAAGGGATAGTTCATATAAAAATGAAACCTCTGTCATCATTTACTCACTCTTTACTTGTTTCAAACCTTTATGAGTTTCTTTCTTCGGCTGTACACAAAAGAGGATAGCTACTGACTTATATGGTGTTTGGTTTTTTGATTATGGATGTCGATGGTTGCAGGTGGCCAGATTTGTAAAAACATATCTCATTTTGTGATCAACAAAAAAAAGAAACTCAAACTGGTTTGCAACCACTGGTTGAGTAAATTGTTTGAGTTGCAAGATTTTTGGGTGACCTATCCCTTTAAGCGAGTTGCACACCGGAAGTGGTGTGTGTACTGCAACTGTTATAGTTGGGTTTGGTAGATTAGGTTTGATTGTGAATTTGATATGTAGTTATTTTATGCTTTATATTTACCATAGTTATATTTAATATACTACCATACACTATATATAATATATCTAAAATCTAAACACCAGTTTTGAAAAAGAAACATAAAAACTTTCAACCCATACCTAAAACATAGTATCTCACAGCAAAACAGTTATTTTATCCTGGTCTAGTGTGTAATTATGACACTGTAAACATTATTTTTTGCCACTTTTATTTGGATTTTATCACTTTTTGTCACTTTTGTTCTATTGTCAGGTCAGATCATTTCCTGATCTGAACCAAGTTATTCTTCCAATAAAATATAACCAATAAAAGTGGCCAAAAAAAAAAAAAATAATAATAAAAATACATATATATACATAGATAAATAGATAATTGATAAAAAAAATCCTCAAAGCCACCCTTCTGCAACATGTCTATGCCTTCAAAATAATTCTGAAATGCTGTTGTAAATGAAATCATTTGTAAATTTATACTTGTAAACTTATATTACTTGTGAATCCCTCACTGTATTATTCAAGCAATTGTGGTCTTAAAGATTATTTACACATAACATCTGCAAGATCACTGAAATCACACCCAGGTGAGTTGATTCTGCAGCTGGGCCAGATACAGGCACACGTGTAGCAGATCTCTCACTTCAGACATCTTATGTTACTAATGTGCACCCTCTGCTGGTAGATAAAATACAAAATGCTCCTGCTTTGCTGTCTCTTTGGCAGCAATGGGGTATATGCCGAAGCATGGTAATAGGACTTTTAATTTGCCAGTAACCTGGGTTAAGCGCTTCCGGTGAATTGAATACCAATGCAAAATCCGATGCGTTTAAGGTCTGTTTTCTTTAAAAATGAGCGATCTCCACTAGCTGAGTGATATCCGATTTAAAGTGGGTCTCAGATTGTACAATAAGCACTGCATTAAATTACATTTCCCTTGCCATATCTTTATAATATGAGCATTTATTTTACACCAGTATATTCAATGGAGCTTCTGCGTTAGCCTGCCGATTCTGACAGCGCGTGTGAGTAAACAGCTTTTTGTCTCGTTTTACGCTTGAGCAACCAAATAAATGCTAAAGTTTATTTAACTTAATGTATTTTAATGACATTACAACATCGATGCTGTATAAGGAACCGTATAAAATGAAAAAAAGGTCACAGATCACCGGAAGTGTATCAGCATGGGAACAGCACTAGCTCGGCATATACCCTATTGCACTGCAGATCTTGATGGTCAATTACATTTTCTGACTGTCAATATTTGACTATATGAAGAGTTCAGATGCAAAAACGTCTAAAAGCCATTTGAAATTTTCTGATTTTCATCAGGCTCTTGTGTGTAAGTTCACTAATTTCAAGTTAATGGCAAACGAATACACTCTTTTTAAGGTCTTTAAAATGAAATAGCTCAACATAAACATAGGAGTGTAAAAAATTGCTAATTTTCGAAGGAAATTTCAGATGGCTCTGAGAGGTTTTTGCATCTAAACTCTTCACATATATATTTTTGACAACACTTACATCTCATATCCGATACCTGCATTTACACTACACACAGCAAAGATGCAATGACTCAGAAAGAAAGAGCGTGCCCTGACTGACAGCTGTGATTATAAATAAGCGCTCTGTTTTCCATTCCTGTATTTAATCTGTTTATACTGTATATAAATATAGAAAAAACAAGCATTATAATGAGCTTAAACCAAAAAAAAAAAAGATATCCTCGATTCATTCTGAGCAGAGATCAAGGTCCAATAATACAATAGATTAGTGTGAATAAACAGAAAACAAAAATATAGTAAACTGAACTTTAACGGATATTTTTACAGCATAGACCACGTAAAATGAATAATACCTTAAAAAAATACATTGTTAATGCAGTTTTATCATGAAAACACTTATTTAAAGTTTAGTTTGTCTAATATATTTTGTAGATTTATTTGTTATCATGAAGACTGATTAAGACTGGTCCTCTTTCTGGAATGCTGGAATTTAATCCAGAAAGTAAATATACTTTAGGCTTAAAAGGCAGAGAAGCTCTAATCTAAACTGCAAATGAAATAAAACCTGTGTGAACTATTTAGCAATCCATACTAATAGACACATGAGGAAACTGCTCTTTGATGAAATTAACTTTAGGTTCATCCTATGAATACACTACAGTACATCTATGAATCACTGAGCAGTTATTAATGCTCTTCCAATGGGATCTTTAAACGAGAGGGTTTGTCTGTCGAATGAATTGATTTAGGAAACACGCTCTACTATCGGTCTGAATAAACTGAGGAACAAAGTGAGGATGAGGAAGTTCTTTAAAGACACTACTTACGGAGTCTCCACACTCTTTCTGCAGTGTGTTATAGACAGAGGGGGATCTGTTGAAGACAAAAGCAGAAAGAAAGAACGTGATTACTGATTTCAGACAGGCATAATCAGACACATTTTCTGTTGAAAAACATCCTACAAGCCTGTTTAGATTTCTGAAGCTTCATTAGTTGTCTTTTATTTAAACCTTGAGAATGTCTTTTGATGTTAAAGTTGCCATTCACACTAGGTTTGAGTGCTTGGTCTAAACCCACATTTTTTTGTGTCAGATGGAGATCACTGATGGTAAGTAGCGACAGAAGATGATGGAGAAAGGGTTGAATACCATTGATTGTTTGCCTCATGCTCGAACTTTCAAGGATTAGGTCACACAAAAAATGAAAACTCTGACATTAATCAACTACCTATACCGTAATGTTGCTTCAATCCCCTGAGACCTTTAATCATCTTTTAAAAACAAATGAATATGAAATCTGAGTTGTTCCATCCTCCACAGAAAGTTCAAACTCCATAAAAGGAACCAAAAACAGTCAAAACATTCCCTTTCGACTTTAACTGTAATTATACAAAGCTTCAAAAACTAAATCTAAAAAAATCTAAATGCAATTTGTTTGCTAATATCTTTTAAACATTTTACCATTAGTCAACAGCACAGCATGCAAGCACTGTATTGCCTGTAGTAAACATGCACCCTAATCTGACGCAGAAGACATTGGTGAACAAAGTCATTTTTACAATTTTGGCAGACAAATAAACCTGGAGCGTTGTATGATTATAGTTAAACCACTGAAGTCACATCACCACCTGTAGTTGTAATTACATTCAAGATAATATTTATAAACTTAAATCTTTCTTTGTATATTTTATGTACAGTATTTGTGTATTTAAATGTAAATATACTTAGTACATATGCAATTACAATTTTTATTTTGGATGTAATTACTATGTGAATACATTCTAATTACTATGTGATAACATTGTAATTACATTGTAATAACATTGTTTTTTTTTTACATCTAGGCTAGTATTGTAAATTTGTTTATGTATAGTTCATGTACAGTTTTTGTAAATTATAGTTATAGACATAAGTATACACAGTACACATGTACACAATATGTATTATGTTACTTTTTTATTTTGTATGTAATTACTACTTTGTTACATTGTAATGTCTATGTCATTACATTCTAATAACATTGTAGTTACATTCAAGATAATATTTAGAAATGTAAATGTTTCTTTGTATACTTCATGTACAGTATCTGTTTATTTACAGTTGTATACTTAAATATACACAGCACATATGTAACCGTACGTCCACACCGAAAGCAGCGAGAGCGTCCAAGGTCGCTCTGGCCGCCCTGGCAACAACGCTGCCTGCCTTCAGCTCCGGCGGCAAGAGCATCAAAATTCGCTACATTGATCTCATATTTAAAGGAGCCGTTGCAGCATGTCAGTTACATTCCTGCATAAAACATGTTTCTAGCGTGAAAATGTTGCGCACTTCTTATCAGATTCATAAAACAATGGAAGATCAAGTTGCATGTGATGTGGCTTTCCTCTATTTATCCAATATGTGTCCATATGTCTGAAATATGCTAAAGCAGCTAACGTTATACTGTTTTGTATTGTCACGTCGCTTTTTTAAGATAAATATATATATATATATATATATATATATATATATATATATATATATATATATATAACATTAATGCACATCAGTAACTCTCCAGTAACTTATTTAATATATGTGTTCTTGTAAGAAAACATTGTAAACAATTGGAAATCTGGCGACCGCATTCATCAAACCCTTGGGAACAACTGTGGTCAGAACCAAAGTTCACAGGTCTGTGTTCTCTGAACTCCTATTAGGCGGTGGACGTCTTCATTCTGATTGCTTGCCGCCAAACCGCGTCATAGCTCATTACCATAAAGTTGACTTTGATTTCAATGCTTCTCGCCGCGTATCGCCGCCGGCTCTCATTGAAAATGATTGACTTCTGGCTACTTTGACGCTCTCGCCGCTTTCTGTGTGAACGTACGGTAAGAACCAAATGTTTTGTTCACATATGTCCAAATCAACTGAACTGAAAATAAAACACACCTTTAGGTTTGTTAGGTCAAATATGGCAGAAAATGAGATAAAAAAGGTTATTTTTTGGATCTTCAGCATATCAATCATGCTTCTCAATAAAAGCAAGTGAATATGCCCTTGAATACACAGTTTGAACAATATACATATCATCAATAGTAACTTTTCAGATTTGGTATGACTGTGATCATTCACACCAAAAGCAAACTGTACCTACGTTTACATTACCTAGCATGGACTCAGAGGTCATTTGCAGGTACACACTCTAATTTGTAAACCAGCATTCACATTATCCAAACTAACTGAATTCTGTAGTTAAATGCAGCCGGAAGTGCACACCAGAAAATCAGCTGAAAATCTGAAAATGCGCCATGTATACAATTATTGTTTCTCAAAAGAAAGAGTTGACTGAGAGTCAAAAAAGAGCTGTTTTCAAAATGGATTTTTCATGTTGACATAAAAAGTGAAACATTATCATATTGTCCGACCCACTTGTGTGCACAAACTTGAACCTCTGTTCCTCAAATGCTGAAGTGGATTCCTGCAGAGTCTGGGAAGAGTCAGTGAGCCTGGGAAAAAATTCAGGTGTAAAGTTCTGGTTTGTGTAAACCTGGCTGACGGCGACCCAGGAGGCTACAGGCTGTCACTTAGGTTAGTGGTGGCCCAGCAAATTATTCATAGTTTTGTAAATATTGCCATTGGCATTATCAAAATTAGTCTCTTCTTCTACTGTGATGAGTTCATGTCATATTCATTCATTAATTTTACTTCGGCTTAGTCCTTTTATTTATCAGGGGTCGCCACAGTGGAATTAACCACCAACTTTTGCAGCATAGGTTTTACACAGCGGATGCCCCTCCAGCTGCATGCCATTACTGGGAAACACACTTACACACTCACATTCACACACATACACTACGGCCAATTTAGTTTATTCGATTCATCTATTGTGTATGTCTTTGGACTGTGGGAGAAACCGGAGGACCCCGAGGAAACCCACGTGAACACGGGGAGAACATGCAAACTCTAAACAGAAATGTCAACTGACCCAGCCGGGACTCAAACCAGGGACCTTCTTGCTGTGAGGCAACAGTACTAACCACTGAGCCTTTATGCCATATTTTATTACCATATTTTAAACTATACTGAATAAAATGTGATAGTGTAAAAATGTTTACAGGTTCCTACATTTTCTGGCTTGACTACACATCGCATCAGCATCTGTTTTTCTATGATTCTCTTTCTATTTTCTTTCTAATAAAGTTTTCTCTAAAAAGTAAACCTCTTTTTCACCAAGGCCATTTGAGTGCAGGTTCAGAGCTGATGGTGGGGTTATCATGACCAGAGGGATAAACAGAAATGGTTTTGAAATAGCAGCGGCACATAATGCTAAAAACATTGTTATCACTTCTCATCTCTGTTTATTTAAATTATTGCATGCTGCACAAACATCTTCTTCTTCATCTATATATGCTACGGCACACTGCATAAACACGTTGGAATCGCAAAACTATTTATATAAAGTTGATGCCGTGTTTTGTATTTGATTCTGGTTGAAATCTTGGGTGAAAGCTTGTGTTGCTGAGAAAGATGAGACAGTGACTGTCTAGCCTGTGTAAAAGCAAAGCAATTCTAAGAAGATGCCAGACAGACCAGCTTAGAACTAGCAACTGGTGGAAAAGGGGAGCCTTTCTGCTTTGATTAGTCAGATGACTCAGTCTGGTGTGATCGCTCATTACCATATCTAAACTTCAGTTCAGGAGGCATCCACGCCACTTGTATACACAGTGAAACAAACAGTAACAAACCTAATGGTTTCACCATGTTAATTTGAGCCAGAATCCACATCTTTTTGTAAGTGCCTGTAAAGTGGATTTGTTTTCATATCCTAGAAAGAAGGGTCTTCTAGTCAAATTCCACAATGCAAACCAAACTTATCCAAGATTTAACTTCAACCACAGTGTTTCAATGCAAAATTACACATTAATTGCAGCCAGCCAATAAAGACCATAGCCTGCCATTATACACAGTTGCAAACCTATAAACTACCTGACAAAAAAAAGTCTTGTCCCCTATCCAAGTTTTTTTTAAATATTTATTTTTCCCTTTATTAGACAGGACAGTAACAAGTCAGGAAGCAAAGTTGGAGAGAGAGAGGGGTAGGTTTCGGGAAAGGTCCTCATGCCAGGATTTGAACTTGGGACTTCCTGAAGTGCTACAGCATCATGTGTCAGCGTGCTAACACTAGGCTATTGCGCTGACCCCTATCCAAGTTTTAGGAACAACAAATATTAACTTGACTTATAGTGGATCATTTGATATCAGAAGTGGCTTTTATGAAAGGATAAGGCCTCTAGATTACACTTATTTTACCAAAATAAAACATGATCATGCCTTGATTTTTAATTATTTAATTACGACAGTAAAGTCTGACTTTGCTTAGGCAAAAGTCTTGTTACTTAACAGAAATAATGTACAGTATAGAATATAGTCATGGTGCAGTGAGAAAACAATGAATACGGAGTATGACTCCCATGAGCTTGGAGGACTGTATCCATACATCTCTGCAATGACTCAAATAATTGATTAACAAAGTCATCTGGAATGGCAAAGAAAGAGTTCTTGCAGGAGTTAAGTTATTCTTCGGACTCATCTTCAATGCCTCCTCATTCATCTTACCCCAGAAATGCTTAATAATGTTCATGTTTGGTGACTGGGCTGTTGATGTTGCCATCCACTTTGTAAATCTCTTGCACGCCCCAATACTGAATGTAACCTCAAGCCATTCATTTTCCTTCAAAAAAACTTGACTGATTTCTCTATGAATGTTGAGTCTAATCAGGTTCCATTAGGTCTTCTGCAGTATTTGTGATGATAAGGATGCAGTTCAACAGATGATTCATCAAAAATCTGCCATTTTTCCAAATAACCAACAACAACAACTGGGATCGACGACAAGACTTTTGTCAGGTAATGTATATACATTTATACAAAACTGGAATTACAACGCTTCAGGCACTTCAAAATTGGTCCTTTCTTTTGGACCTCTTACATTCACAAACATATTCATTAGACACTACACGAGAGAGCATTATGGGACACTATTGCTATGATGAAATGTGAGGTGCTAGAGTTGGCGGTGAGAGCTACACTGACCTCGTCTCCTCTTGAGCTTACGCCGTCTCTGTTTGTTGACGAAACAGGCTGCTAGCGTGCTGAAGAGGATGGCGGCTGCCAGGAAACAGATGGTGGCCACAATGCCTGCCACCACCGGCCGCGCCAGGCCCTCGTCTGGCACCTCAGGCGGTGGGAAGTAGTCTGAAAGATACAAACAAGCTCGCCTTCAGCACACACACACACACAAGCTCTTTTATTCTAAGTGTGCCCAAACCATACAGCTCTTTCTGAATGATTTAGTTAATAAGAGGTTTGATTTCAATAGCTGAAATGGAATGGGATAGTCTTGATGCTGGGATGAGAAATGAAAACAAAGACAGAAAGGCAGACTCGTGTTTTTTTTTGACTAAATTCTGACTTTAGTGAATAAAACTATTTATTTGGTGGATTCAGGCATTTAGGATTGATTGTCAATCACTAGATTTATTTTTCTTTATATGGGTTATAAGTGATGGTTAAGCTTTTCATTATGTTAGTTTTTCTGTTTCATATAAAATATGTTCTAATGAATATTTGGTTAATTAAATACTACTTAACATAATTATCTATATATGCCATGGTCATAACATTTAACAGTTTACAACACTTAGCCAGCACAATATTGTGATTTCAGTAAGATCATATGACACAGAAGACAAAGTTATTGCTGCTGACAATTCAGTTTTGTCATAGCAGGGATGAAAATATGTCAAAATATATAAAATATAAAACAACTGTAATAATAATAATAATAATAATAATAATAATAATAATAGCGACGATCGCTTCACAGCAAGAAGGTTGCTGGTTCGGGTCCGGCTTAATCAGTTGGCATTTCAGTATGGAGTTTGCATAGTCTCCTTGTGTTCGCGTGTTTTTCTCCAGGTGCTTAGTTTTCCCCAACAGTCTAAATGGTCGTAGTGTACGTGTGTAAATGAGTGTATATAGATGTTTCCCAGAGATGGGTTGCAGCTGGAAGGGCATTCGCTGCTTAAAATGTATGCTGGATAAGTTGACAGTTCATTCTGCTGTGGCGACCCCTGATTAATAAAGGGACTAATCGAAAATGAATGGATGAATAACATTAACAATAATAATAATAATAATGATAATAATAATAGTAATGGGCGACGCGGTGGAGCAGTAGGTAGTGCTGTCGCCTCAAAGCAAGAAGGTTGCTGTTTTGAGCCTCAGCTGGGTCAGGTGGCGTTTCTGTGTGGAGTTTGCATGTTCTCCCCATGTTTGCGTGGGTTCCCCCCAGGTGCTTCAGTTTCCCCCACAGTCCAAAGACATGTGGTACAGGTGAATTGGGTAGGCAAAAAAGTTTGTAGTGTTTGTGTATGAATGAGTGTGTATGGATGTTTCCCAGAGATGGGTTGCAGCTGAAAGGGCATGCACTGTGTAAAACATATGCTGGATAAGTTGGCAGTTCATTCCCCTGTGGCAACCCCAGATTATCAAAGGGACTAAGCCGAAAAGATAGAAGAAATGAGTGATAATAACAATACTAATTTACAGGTCCATAGTCAGGGGGGGTTCATGTGGTTCGAGAGGCCCACCCTCCCTTCTGGGAGCTCATTTGTCCCATTTTTGACAGTATTTCTAAAATTCTTGATCACTTCATGTGAATAAACTTGATAACCATGTCAATAAAGGCTTTTTAAGATTTTTTCCACATTTTCCAAGCCTTGGACTAATTTTTATCATTTTTTTCTGATGAATCCCTTACCCAAACAGCACCAACATATTATTTTAGCTACCCATGAGCCCTTTTTGTTTGATTAATGTAAGCACTTTCACAAAAATGTAGGAAGTGTTTTTGTTGCATCAAAAAGTGTGGTAATAATAACCATCCGAGAGGTCAATCCAGTACAAACTGGTGCTTAAAATGTTACTAAAATGCAGTATTTGAACCTCATAATTTGAGGGGAATAAATGCAAAAGAAAAATGAACTACCCCTTTATTGGCGGGCTATTGGCCTGATTTACTGTTTCTAATCAAAGTGATTATACTTATATAACCATAAATAAATAAATAAAATAAATAATAACATTATATTTTTAAAATATCCAAGTGCAAACATTAATTTTTACGTACAAGATAATAAATAATACAATACAAGATACATAATAAATACAAGTAACACAAGCCTACTAAATACTAAGCAAAATGGACTGATCATAGCTTTTGGTAAATGCTTATTTTTAAAATTAAATTATCCTTGAACATAAACTGTAGTTAATGAGATTGAAAGCTTTTTACACAACTAGACTCAACAATATAGTTATTAAATTAAAAAGGAACATTACTGTTCACTGATATTTTTAAAGATGGATGTTTAATTCTAAAACATGATTTAAACACAAGCTCCAGCAGATGGCAGCAGAGTCTCATTGAATCCTCACTAATTCAGTCAACTTATTCTATTAGCATTTCTGTGGGTCTATACAAACATATTAGAACAACATGATGCATGACGTCAAGCAGTACGTATTCAAAAAGCTCTCAATTTGAGCACTGACCTGTGCTAGAGACTCCCACTACATTACTGGGCTCACTGACAAGGTCCTCCATAACCGCCATCACTCTGAACTCATACCAGGCCTCCTGCAACACAACCCAGACAACTACAGCCTACAGTTGGTATATCACTTTTATCACATGATATGACTATTTTATTTATTTATTTATTATCATTAAGTATTGCCCCTGAATGCACAATGTAGAATGTACAATGTGTATCAATCATCCATTTCTTTTTTAATTATAAACTAATATTTGCATTTTCTATACAAAATAACATAAAACAATAACATAAAGAGATAATAAAGTGGAAATACGTTTTAAGGGTGTCATTGTTCTTTATAAAACTGTGCTTACTTTATTAGTATTCCAAAGTATTAAGATTACATTTCTAAACTTGAGCTATCTAACAAAATATGCCACAATCTTTAATCTTTAGAGAAATAAATATAAAAAAGTAACCTTCTCAAACCTGGTTCTATGTTTGTCCTCTAACGTATGAGGTGTGTGTGTGTGTGTATATATATATATATATATATATGTATATATATATATATATATAAACTCCAGAAGAAATGCTAATACAAGCGGTCAAACTTTTGAAAGTCACATCAGGCATACCTGAATCAGGTCTCTTGCCAAGATCTCAGTCTCTCCAGCAGGAATTGCATCATCAAGAACATCCCATCTCTCCCCAAGGCGGAAATCCATGATGTAGTGATCGATTGGCGACGTGTGATTGGCTGGAGGGATCCATGTGAGCAGGACTCCCTGCTGTGTCCGGTTGGCTGTGAGGCACCGTGGTGGGGTAAGCAGCACCAGTGGTTCTGGGGTACTTATAGGAAATACTGGAGGAGGGAAAGCAAAACACTCTGATTATTTATTATTATTATTATTATTATCATTATTATCATAAATCTTTTATTTATTTATTTTTGATTAAATAGTCATTCAAACTTGGCATAGAAAACTAAATATTTAGCATAATTTTAGTTCTCAGTGCTTTATGCTCATGACATGAAGACTGGATTTATTTGATCAAAAAGGCAACAACCTTTAAAATTATTTTGATCAAATAAATGCAGTCAATAAATCCCAGTCAGATTTCCTGTCTGTAAAAATAAATTCTGTCAGACCTGTTTTTCTCAAAATAACAAAGTGCCAACAATGCGCCTTAACACACCTCTATTTTAGACCAGCACACCCATGAGTCCACAAAGTGACGCAAATAGATTTGCTAATTAAACATTGTGTTGCAAAATGTGAACATAAGAGTTGTGCTGGTCTGAAAATAGCAAAAATCATAGCAAACAGGTCTTGCGCCTTATTGCGCAGGGTGTATGATAGGGTCCACAGAGAGAACTTGTCATTGAATGTTGTATTGCACAGTTGGCCAACCTAGTGTGTTCACAGTGACGACCTCGCTGAACGGGCCCGTTCCCAGCTTGTTCTGGGCCAGGACGCTGAATTGGTAGGCCGTCTCGGGCTCCAGACCTTGCACCAGGAGCCAGTGCTGTCCGCTGGGCACAGGCATGGACAGCCAGTCATGCGGTCCCAACTGCTCCCTCTTCACCCTGCAGGAGGCGGACGTACAGATGGAGAGAGTTCAGCACATGCACAAACACTCACACAATGATCACTCACAACACTGATGACAGCACTGCCTGCAGCTCCACGCAAAAAAAAAAAAAAAAGACAGCTTGTTTGGCTCAGTGTGAGTGCTCAGGGATATCCAATAATACAAAACTGTCTCATGGCTTCCCAGAGGAAATCCTGAAGATTGAGACTGTGTTTTCCTGTGCCAATTGGTCCAAAAATATCTTCACACATGTCCTCGTATGCCCTACAGCCTTTCTGCTCAGCTCTCTCAGGAATTACCTATGGCTTGAAAAGAGGCGTATGGAGAAAATGTCACTTAAGGAAGACGAGGTGAATGCAAAGGTTTGAACAGGTTCTGAAATGTATTTGTGGTAAATTCAAGTTAAAATTGGCTTGGAAAAAAAAACAAAACACACATATATAGGGCTCTATTTTAACGATCTAGGCACAAAGTCTAAAGTGCATGGCACAAAAGTATTAAAGGCATAAGGAATCCACTTTTGCTATTTTAAGGATGGGAAAGTACGATTTGCACCCAGCACATGGTCAAACAGGGTTGATCTTATTCTCTTAATGAGTTATGGGTTTGTTCTGAGCTTAACGTATATTAAATCAATCAAAGTCTCATTCCCTTTAAGAGTCAGTTGCATCGCATCATGGCACGTTTGCTATTTACATGGCAGACTTTGTAAGTAGAAAAACTGAACGCTTCACAAGCGAGAAAAAAGCTACAGACCATCTGAAGTGGGAGGATGAAGTTCAAGCCTTCTCCATTCTGCCTCTTTACTTTCTTTTTACTTTACTTTTACTCTTTACTTCTTTTTTTCCGTTGATAAGGAAACAGTGGTGTACGCACTCCACTGAAGACATCCATTAGCCTACATATTTAATTTTTCAGTTATATAAATTATTATATAATAATATTATATTTTTTATTCTAGCCAAAATAAAACAAATAAGACTTTCTCCAGAGAAAAAAAGATTATCAGACATACTGTGAAAATGTCCTTGCTCTGTTAAACATCATTTAAGAAATATTAAAAAAAGAAAAACAAATTCAAAGGGGGGCTAAAAGTTCTGACTTATTAAATAAAACTGCTAATAATAATATTATACAAATGCAAAGTGTCATGAATAAACTGAAAAAGCCCTCAAACATGAAGAAGGCATGGAGGTAGTGTTTTTTTTATATTTATGTAGTAAATAATAATTTTTGTAGCATCTGAATCCTTAAATTTTCCATATGTAAAGATATTTGTGCGTTGCTGTACATCCTGTGTGTATTAAGCAATATGTAAGCATTTGCATAGGCGCATAACTAACACACCCTGACCCTGTGCTGGACTTTAGACCAGCTTTCAGTTGTTGAATGGCGCAATCTATTTCAGTTCTTCAAAATAGCAACACGCCAACAATGCGCCTTAACACACTTCATTTTTAGACCAGCACACTCATGAGTCCAGAAAATGGCACAAAATGGATTTGCTATTTAAACAATGTGGCGCAAAATGTAAAAATGAATGTTGCGCTGGTCTGAAAATAGCAACAAATCATGCTAAACACGTCTTGTGCCTTATTGCGGCGAATGTATAATAGGGCCCATAGAGTTGGAGGCAGAAATAATAGCTCATCTGAGAGCGTAGGAATTTTCACAGTAGCTCCGATTGTATTTTTTTCCTTCTGGAGAAAGATTTATTTATATTAGTTTGGCTGGAATAAAAGCATTTAAAAAAATCTTTTCTTGATTTGCTATGCAAAACAAATCACTGTAGTCCAATAATTCCCCTAACCTAATTAACCAAGCCAATTAACCACTTAAAGCTCAATACTAGTATCTTGCAAAGTGCTAACATACGGCCACATTGCATTGCTTCGAGTGTGATATTGCGTTTATACAACAGTTTGATGGCATAATGATGTATAGAAAAAAGAAAATCAAACACTTAGAGTCTCAAAACCGTTTTGTAAGAGGAACTACTTTCTTCCGCCATTCATTCATATCTGCAGCTGAGGTCAGAATAGCAGAAACTGTTGCTCATTCACTAACGTCACTTTAGAGCTAGTATTTGAATGATTCTCTAGCGTAATGTCTAAAGGGATGACAAAGCTGATTTTGCTCACATTTTAAGATTATAAGGCCGAACGGCATAAATTGCCATCTCAGTCTACAGAGATTTCCCAGCATTTCTCTGTTGCAATTGGGAGATCACACTATTACTATGGTATAAATGCAGCACTACAACATATAAAACAGAGAAATCGACTGCTCATTTACCAGTTTTATAATGATGTGATCAGCTGTTGTTTGAAATGACTCTGTTTTTTCTTATGGCTTATTATGCGGTCTCTGTCACCATCTTGTGGATGAACATTGTCAACCGTCTTTGCTCAAAGACAGTTCGTAAGAAGGTGTATGACCCCTTTGTGTTGTTGCTTTGCTTGCATTAGACACGAGCCCCTGCATGTATGTGAGGGTAATGTACTTTTGCTTCATTTATTTTTATTTCTTTCAGTAACGTTAACACTGTGTGTGGCATTTAGTTTGTAAAGGGCAGTATACCTATTTCCTGGACAATAAAATACCACCGAGAAAAACTCTCTTGGCAAGCTTTGTTTATTTGAGAGCTATCCATATTTTACCGTACGCAGGCCATTACAACAGGCTAATGGCCGTTCACTATTCTTATAAATAAACTGCACAGTTGCAATTTAAATAGCTACATTATCGACTAAAAAAGCTTTTAAAGTACATTATATTGTCCAACGGCTGCAATATTTGTCAAACTGTAGTGTCCTCTGCTTGCCTCTGTATGTGGGTGGAGTAATACACAAGGGTTAAGAGGCTGGACAAGTGTTATTTGCAGAATATCATACGGCTATCAGCCAATCAGATTCTAGAATCAATAAGAACTGTTGTATAAATATATATTGTAAACATTTCAAGTTAGTAATAATTAATAATTCTTATTTAGGCTATTAATTATCGAGTGATAAACAGAAAATCCTTAACAATCCCAAGTTCATTTCTCTAATGTGATAAGCATGGTTGCCTTGAAGTAAGAAGGTCCCTGGTTTAAGTCCTGGAGTGTGAGTAAGATAAAATATGTCATAAAATAAATCATGAACTTTAAATAAAATTTCTGTTACACTGACGAATTCAAAACTCAACACAATACACCTTTCTGAGAATTTGAAACAACATTGAAGTGTCGATATTTATGACTTTCAAGAAGAAATCAGAAAATAATAGGGTATGTACGTCATCAGCCAGTGTTCCTATTGGTGTGAGTCACAATATTCCACTGAGGTATAATTGATCACTTCCTCTATGGCCTTCCAGCATGAGGGTTGGCAGGCTCTTGAGATGTGTGTTATTCACAGCGTCTCAGCAGTCGCTCAGCACCTCTCCTGCAACGCACAGGAAGTAGCGGGAACACGCCAACTATCTGCGTCAACGAGCTGTTGTTTAATCTCACGTGGGCCACCTTTAAAGGCCATTCACACACAACCTTTAAAGCATGACTCACACCGGCCAATGCTTCAAATGACATCTTTAGTCAGATCCTGGCTCAGGCCTGCGACTGCTCAGGCACCCGTGGTGGACACATCAGACCAGCAGATAAAGATGATCTGAGAAGAAGCTAGAAGCAGTGAAAAGGCCTGGTCCTCGTGTGAGGATTAGCAAGCTTTCTTTTATTCTTCAGTGGAGCTTCTATACTTTTAACCATTTGTGGAATACCATTTGTGCAAGCTTTAGCATTTGTGCTGGCACTGTAGCACTCGCAGGTACAGATTGTGCAGAAATGTTTGTACATTTTAGTATCAAAATAATTCAAAAGGTCTACTATCGGATACCAATATGAAGTTTAGAAACCAAAAGAATGCATTTTGATAAATTATTATTGCAGTGACAGCTCTCTTACATTTATTTCTGAGATTAGATGTAAGCATGACAGTTCACTCACATTACAATAAATGGAGAAAACTGTTCATTACAGTTTAATGCCAAAAAGCGCACCGCTGTTAGATTATGCCTCCCCACATTGACCAGTATAGGGTAGGGTTTGGATTAGGAGGTGTGGTTGGGATTAGGCAATCAGGTAGTAAATTCAGCAAGGGGTTGCATAATTTGGCAGGGGTGCATTTTACAACACAACTACAGCAATCCCTGTCATTTGGCGACTACTGTATTTTCAGTGTCGTCCTCCAGTTTTGTTCCAGAGTCTCTGCTCTTCAAGTTTTTGTACCAACTGAAACAGCTGTAGTCGAGACAGGAGCATGTAATACAGTGCTTGAAAATCTTTGATCATGCATAGTAGCAAACTGTAAATAACATGATTTAAACATAATAAGCAACAAAAGTAATGGGACTTGCCACTTCAGATTTTCTTGCTTGTTATTTAAAATAAGTCATTTAATTTCAAGTTATCAATATCAATATCAATATCAAGCAGTTTTTAAAATTTCAGGGTTCCCTTGAGTTCAGAACCAAACTGAACAATAAGTTGTTACCTGCATATGTTGCCTTGACCAATCTGATCTTGCTAGAAAAAGATAACAGCAACAATCCCATAGCTAAAAATTATAGGTAGTAACAACCGTACTTAACAAAAGAGCAATTCATCTTGACTAAAAACAGCACATACTAAGGTATTTGCTCTTTGTTTACAACTAAACTGAAAAACTAGTTGTGTTAGTAATGAATTTAAAACTGCATCAGTCGAATCTGTTATTTGTATGTGTGGTGCATGAAATCAAAACGTACAAGCCTCGGCTCAGCTGCTAGATCTCGCTAGAAAAAAAAGCAAACAAGAACAAGCCCATAATAAAAGAAGAACAAAAATTTGTATGGGATAATGAAAACATTCCCAAAACATTGTGACACATATCTCCTCACTTCAATAACCTCATAAATTTGATTGTATTATGAGCCACAATGCTAAAAATAAGGGGACATACAACATTCAAGAGTGGGCTCTGTAAAGCAGTCTTTTAAAACTAAACATCTTTTGATTTGGAGACCATAATGGGTCTTTGGTGAATGTAAAATATTTTTTTTTTGTAATAAAAGTGCAAAAAACGTGCAGATAAATTAGGACTGTTGAGCTGCGCATGATGGATTTGCTCTTCAGTGTTTGGACTTTCAGCAGTGAAAATTAAACCACACTGAACTGAAGTGATCTTCAACTCTGAAAACTGGATTGAAGCAGATTCAATTTACTAAAACTTTTGTGTTATGCTGCTTTGACTCAATACTTTGTAAAAGTCTCATTGTGTCTCCTCTCCACCTATCAGCAGGTAAGTGGCTACCGTCCCATCATCAAGGTGGATGCTGCACACTGGTGGTGGATGAGGATATTCCCCCCTATGTGTAAAGCGCTTTGAGTGCCCAAAAATGACTGCTTGGATGCTTGAAAACTCCTTTTCATTATTAACCCCTAAATACACCCAACTCAAATGATCCTTACATTTCCTTTACTCTTTCTCCTTATGACATCCACATGTGTCTCTAAACATTCAAAGTAAATTCTATGACTATTTATAGCTCAAAAACAACTGTAATCCGTCTCCGGGGCTTGTAATGGGCTAAACCTGTTCATGCTACATTCCCATGAAACCCTGCTGCCATCTGTTACCTGGTATCACATTGCAAAAATATGCTCTAAAAAACGAGTAATTTTAAAATTGTGCTAGCTAACACACAACATTTGAAGGAGCTTCCAAGATAAGCCATTGTGATGTTCTTGGTGATACCCACCGAAGCATACAAACAGAGGTTACAGCGAAGCACATGTCATTCTATAAGCGCAAAAGCACAGAAAGCTATAGAATGCTGATATTCAGGTGAATATCGCAGGGGGCAGTGCTATAGAGAGAGCAGGGATGCAGAAGCACTGGCATGAGCAGCAGAGAGATGCAGACAGGCGGAGGAGATGGCCGTGCTGCTAAGTAAGCCATTATGAATCATTCATTAACAAAAGTTCCTCCAGATCGCCCTTTAAACCCTGAATAATACAATACTTACATGTTATTGTTGGCTGTCTGTATATGATTAAAATACCAAAAATTGTTTAAATGAACTGTGAGAAAGTACAAGACAAAGTAGTAAATTATTTCCCTGCATCACATACTGTATCTTAGTATTTGCCAGGGTTTAATCAATACTCTATGTATTAAATGATTTCAATAAGATGTAGTATATTAACTAGCATCTCTGTTAAAACTGAAAGGTATACTTGATGTAACTATTATTAATTGAAAGGTTAATTCTATATTTTATTATTATTTAGGTTTATTAGAAGTCCTGCTTCCTGCAAATAATACAAATTTTGTCAAAATGACAAAATCATATACAAAATAACATGCAGAATTTGTTTTATTTATATTGTTTTTTTATCAAATGTAATTATTTTTCAAATTATATTTTATCTTTATTGGTTAGAAATCTGATTATTTTACTGATAGTATTGGAATAGCAGATAGAAACAAAGCTATACATTTAACTTATTACAAATTCAATATTTTCAAGAAAAAATTTAGTGTCATTCAATTGAAAATAATTAATTAAATGTAATTGAAATTAATTCATTTAAACACAGTTAAAATATGTCATTGACTTTTTATGTCATTCCTTCTAGGAAAAGTTCACACAAAATTGAAATTTCTGTCATCATTTAGGTGTCAGTTTTTCTTAATGGTAGTGCTGATTTAAAAAAAAAAAAATTTAAATGCCATGCTGAGCTCGGCTTGATTTTTGCCTCTGTGTATATTAAAAAAGATTCATCCTTGTCCAGTGTCTGAACATTCTTCTCCACAAGTTATGATCAATAAGAATGTATTTGTACTTATTTAACACAGAGCTGCGGAAACCTCTTTACACTCTTAGGCTTAGTTTACACTGTCAGGTCTTGATGCCCAATTCTAATTTTGTTGCCTATATCTAATTTTTCTTTTTTTTTTTGCCTGTCCGTTTACACACTGTTATAATTGTGACCCATATAAAATTCATGTGTTTACACTTGCCATACCATTTACAATGTTGCGCTGACTCGCTCAAGCATAAAAGCGGGTTCTAGCATCTATGCCACACTAGCCACGATGGAAGAAATTGTCTTGTTTTTAGCCCTGCGAAATATGCGAAGTGTAGTATAAGCAGTGAACGGTTCAGTCCAGATTTACCTACATGCAGTTTATGTAATGGTATAGCCCTGATGTATGTGTGTAGTTGAAGATGTAGCCTTTGCCTGTGTGCACACGGGTGTTGGAGAGAATAAAGTTGTTCTATGTGTAGCCCACAGTGCATGTATTAATAGCGACAAAAAGCAAATGATACAACACGAAGTTCACCCAACTTTAAAATGTTTTTTAGGCAGAGGTGGGAAAGGGCCATCATCGCAGCTTGCACCTGTGGTTTATATTCTTTAATAATGTCCTCCACCATTCAGAGGAATTTGTGGGTACGAGACCTCAGGTCTGATGGGTGCTAATTATGGCGACTGACTTCTTTCCTTCTCTATGTTTGATCTGTTGTTGTTGTTGTTGTTAACCACGCTGGCGTCTCCACATACGCTCTTTCTTCTATGTCATTACACCGCGGAGAAGCACCACATTGTGGCAAGTTTAATAACATATAAAATGGAATACTTCAATAAATCTGATCTGCCTGTTTACATGACATGTGTCGCATTGTCACATATCCGAGGAAGGAAGGAGGCCAGAAACAGATCTCTGAATATGCGAATGCTTGCATTTTTTCGTGTTTACACTGTCTCAGAACAGATCCGATCTTTGTCACATATGAGCAAAAAATTGGAATTGGGTCACATTTAACTGGCAGTGTAAGTGGGGCCTTATTTAAACACTCATCAATGCAGGTCTCTGTTGTTTTAGCAATTGTAGCCAATTATCCAGTCACAGTGAAGAAAGAGAAAATTCTCAATCATATTATAAAAAAGAGAAACAAGAGTCCATACTGAAAATATGTCTCTTAGGCACCAGCAGTTAGGATTTTTTGGAAGAGTGATGTTCCACCATACGGGTAAAAAACACTAAATGTAAAACACTTCTTAGGGGCGATTACACCGAATGACAGGGCTTAATTTGCGTCGGAACAAGCTGGATCTGGATCCACACCTCAATTTACCAATTCCCCTCCTCACACGCACCCCCACTCCTCACCGCTATTCACTGTCTTCATTGACACCCCAACCTGCTTTACTTTTGTTCACGACATCCCCCTGCATTCCATGGTCTTCACTTTGGTCCATGAAAAACCTCTACACTTTCATCATTTCAGCAAGACATCACCACCCGCACCCCAAACACTCCCCCTCTTTGCTTTCGCCCACGACACCTCGACCCCCTCTGGTAACATGCCGGATCCACTACCCCAATCTGTTGAGCACTGCTGAATGCACTTTCACATTCCAAAATTGTGAGGCACACCACAAAGCCTTTTTTTTCAAAGCCTTTCCTTTGACAAGAATAAAGAAGTGCGGTGCAGTTTTTTTTATGTCACTAGGCAACGACTGAATCAGCTTCGTATTTTGCTCGAGTGTTGCTGTTGATATAGTTATAATTGCAATATTTAATAATATTGTGATATTCAAGATTTGTAAAGTCATACAGCTCTGGATAACTTGAAACAGTGACCACTAGTCTCTCGTCCATCTTTAAAAGTCTTGACAACACAAACACTGCTGTCACCTTAACGGAAATGCCGCCTCTGCTTTCATTTGATTGAAGAATGAAAAAGACACGACTGATATAACGCACTTTTTTCAGTTAGAGTTGACTGTTTTTTAACTTTGAGCGCACAGCGAGCGACGGCGCAGCACTTGCAGGGGACATACACAGCGTGCATAACTTTCAGCAATTAGTAAATCATTCAAAAAAGGCATCTCTCATTGCAAAAAGCGCATTCGATGTGATCGGCCCCTATATGTGCTAAAAAGAAGAAAGAAAGTTTTACAGATTTGTAATGACATTACAGTTAATAAATGATGACAGAACTTTTATTTCTTGACTGTTCTAAACTGTTCTATATTTCTTTCGACGAAAGAGGTTGTACACATTTAAAATATACAGCTACCCATAAACTATATAAAACACTAATGTGGGTTCTAGAGCAATGCTACGACTATTGGCACGGCAGGCTCAGTGGCAGACTGTTCCCTCTAAATCAAATGAACATTATTTTTAGTGTGCTAAAGTGTTTAAAAACCAGTCCAACAGCACACAACACTGAAATTGTCTTGTCTTGTTAATAAGGTACTTTGCATGCAGCTCGTCTCAAAACAACCCCGTAGAGGGATTTTACTGCCTGATCATTCCATTTCAATTCTGGCTCTATGAAACAGATTAGCATGTTAGCTAAATACCCACTGAAAATAAAACCTGATTAAGGAAAGAGGACTAGCATAGGAATGATTACAAGACTTTTTCAGGATGAATTTAAGAATATGGCATTCTACCCACAATTAACATTTTTCTATTTATAATTGCAGAGCCCTGCTGTTCATTGCACTCCTAGGGGGAAAGGTTTCACCCTGTCCCGGACGAGCCCCCAAATGTAGCAGCCTCACAGCAGCAGCAGAGCTCAGGTCAACAGTTAGGAAGAGAAGCAGAAAGCAAAGCATGCTGGGATGACTCACACATGGCCGTACCAGACTGAGAATGTCTGCTCAAAGCCGCCATCGTAACTGGAATCCCACGAGACATTGGCCGAGGTCGTCGAGACCGTAACGTGGACTTTGGCGGGGGCGTGTGGGCTTGTGCCTGTGAAGGAGGACATATTGTTTCACAATCAAGGTACATATACACTTGCATACAAAAGCTAAGCTAACATGAAGATACACATGTTTTATTTCTGTAGCAATCCCTCGGTCAGACCGATTAGCTCACTTGTCTCAAACAAACACCTGCATTTGTCCAAACAAACAGACACAGTTCGCATCATTTATCCTTTATCTCTTATTCAAAAGCTAACCACAAGCCTGAGGGGACGCTTTGAGTAAAATCCTTCTATACTAAGACACTGAAACCTTTCTTTAAGTCCGCGCACAGCTTATACCATCCCTCAGGGGCCCAACCTAGGGTCTGACTTATGTAAGGAGAGCTTTTGATAGGGACTCACTGAATGGCTTTTCAAAAGGAAAACCTGCAGGTAAGCCTAATAGCAGCTACTTGGCTATTTATCAGAGACTCTCAACAAAGTTTCTTTAACTGACAGCTTCATTTCAGCCACATAAATCCAAACAGTGGCCAAAAGCACAGTGGACATGCCAAAACAGCAGGCTGTAATATAAGAACTGCGGCAGAGGTGTTGTTAAAGAGCTACAGAGGGTGCTATTAAAAAAGGCCATAGGCTAAAGCAAGACGTCATGAAATAAACAGAAAGGAATGACTACACAGACAAAGTCTGTCTAATTGGTCTATTTGACGCCCAGTCTAGTTTTGGGCTATTCTTAGACGTCTATTAGATTTTCACTGACAGCCCAAGTCTAGCCTTGTTTTAGCCAAGCTAAAGTCTATGCTTAGATGTCTATTAGACATCTATTAAACAAAAAAGTGTCTGCTGGGAAGTCTGCATGTGCATATACTGTACTTGAAAGCACTGCAGGAAGTAAATAGATATAGCTAGTACATCTTTGCAAAAAAAAAAGTCATATCCATTTCCATTGACATTTATGTCCTAGAACAGTGGTCCTCAACCACTGGTATCAACTAGTACCAGGTCACACAAGAAATCATTAATTATTTCCATTTTATTAATTATTTAAGTCTAAACGATCTTTTATTTTAAAAAATCTTTTATTCTGAAAAATGTCTGTATTCTCTCACTTACATCTCGGTTACTTGAGTGGCCAAATTAAACCCACAAGCAGCAAAATGAATAAAGAACAACAAACATCATTGGAAAGTCTCTATGCTAAAGGGAAAAGGCCCAGTTAACGACTCTTGAACTGCCAAGGAATAGATTTGCAACCCATTTGTCAACAAATCAAGTAAATCCACCATGCAAATTTGTTATTTCCAAAGGAGGTGTGTGGCTTGTGCGCGCAAGCGGTATGATGCGCCCGCCCTTTCCAGACACACACAGTTGAATGAATGCCATGTGCACACCGCCAGTCAAGTGACAAGAAATGACCATTCAGCTTCAGCTTGTATGGAGTATACACATTTCGCTCAACTAATTATCTCAGACAAACACAGAACTCCCAAACACTGCAGTGCTTTGTAATTGTCTCCATAAATAAAACTTGTTTCAGAGTGACAGAACTTTTTTTGTCAGCTTGTAATTCTCTGCTGGTCACCTAGCAACCTACGAACCACCGCACCATAACCCCCTATCCAGTATGTGGTAAAATTGTCAAGCGTTGACCAGTCCGTGGTGATAAAAATGTTTGAGGACCACTGTTCTAGAAGAAACTGTATTAAAATACATTTGGGTTACTAGATAAACCGAATACTATTTGCTAATACTCAGTAAGGGTGCGTTTCCACCAAAGTATTTTTACACAGCTAAAAATGCAGGCGCTCTTCTGAAAATACTCAGCTTCCCTACTTTCTAGAATTTACCCCAAAGAAAACTGTTGGCAGAGAACAAGGAAAGTAATGGAATGTGCCCCTCAATATGTCACAAAATAAGCTAGAATGGCTTAGAAACAGAACAGACAGATACCACAGTTTTTGAAAAACAAAAAACAAAAACAAAAAAACAATACAACAGGTTTACTACATATTATAACAAATTACCTATGTGATGAACTGCTAATATAATGAATGTAAGCAAAGGAACACAAATGACATTGATCAATTGAACAATTTTAAAAAATGGTGAGTCAGGTGTTTCATGACGTTGCAAAGTATAAACAACAATACAAGTAAGCATTTAACGAAAAAAGCACCCTTAACGAGTCTGAAGTACAATGATAAAAATGTATTGAAAAAAATATTGCAAGTTGTGTTTGTGCGTCATTGGGTTTTACACCATTTGTTTTCACGCCTCCTACCGATTACTAGGAGGTGCGTGCTGGCAGTGATGCTCGTGGCGACATTGGAGGCGACACACTCCCACTCCCCGTGGTCCTCCTTGCTGAGAGATTTGAACTGTAAGCTGCCTCTCGGTAGGACGTTGTGCTTGCTTCTGCTGGGCTTCCCTACCTTCTCCAATAGAAGAAAAAACAATTCTGGCAAGCAGTTTATTTGGCTTGACAAAGACTTCGTAAAGATCCTTGAAAGACATGGCTTACCTTTCTCCATGTAATGTTGGGGAATGGGTCTCCTTCTGCCTCGCAGGGGATGACCAGCTCTCGACCAGCCTCCTGCCTGTACTCCCCTCCAGGAACCACCAAAAATTTGGGTGGATCCTATCCATCACCAAACACATTATATTGACGCAAACAAATGAAATAATGGTGCAGCTACAAGGTTTTATCCTTACCTTTAGCACCAGGGGGGCGGGAGGGGACGGTCCCATGGTACCGAGGCTATTGTAAGGCACGCAGGTGTAGGTGCCGAGAGAGTCCTCTGTCACCTCAGACACTCGAATGCTCCCATCTTCCATTTGGCTCCAACCAGGGTACTGCAATAGAGAGATGTCCCATTACCCTTAGTGCACACAATAAGAACTAACAGTTTAGTGAACCTTAAAAGGCAGAGGGTGATTTTGCAACACCAACGTCATGAACTTAAGGAAACACATAACCTGTAGAAGATCAATGCCTACATCACTACATCCACAGATTCATGACTATTTCTACATAACTGAACCATTACATCCATGGATTTATACATGCATCAAAACAAATATGTTATATAGGATAATACATTTTTGTATTAACTTTATTTGATCCTAATAGTGTATAAATTTGACACAACCATGTTAAGTTTTGCTGCATTCATTGGAGAGATAATCATTGGTTATGATGGGTTTTATTGAATGTAATTGCATTGTGCCTGAAACAACAAGATGATGCAGTGTCAACTAAACTAAATACAATAGTAATGTTTCAACATAAGTGTGAGTACGCATGTTTTACTGTGTCACTGTTGCTTTGCTGCATATTGTTGATCTATTAGCCATTTAGATGCTATTAACCAAAATTATTCATACTGTTTATAGCATACAACAGTATCCATCTATCATTTTAATTTATAAAATTGCTACCTGATCATAACAGAGGGTGTTTAATTCCAAGTCTTGAAAGCAGTACACTATAAAAATGATGTGTTTCAAAGAGAAGGTCAGGATAGAAATTAGTTCACGGCATTTAAACAATGATGGATGATTAAAAGAAACTGACCTGATCCTGAAAAAATCCAGATTTATGGTAAATCATGTTGGGTGGTGGACACAGGCTAGTAATGATGGCTTATTGCAGTTTATGCTGAAGGTTTGTGTACATTAAATGGGTGTTAATCATAACCAACCAGAAAACCTCCCAAATTATGACTGGTTTGGATTGGAATGTCTTTATTGTCTAAATTTGGTTAACAGCAATAGCCGACACAGACCAACACTCGAACAAACAACATAATAGTAAATTTGGTAGTTTTATTTCTATTTTTGTTTACGTTTTGATATGTGTCAGCTATTGCTGTTAACCAAATTGCATCTCCGGCACATTAAAGGCATTCCAATCCAATCCAGTCATAATCTGTGAGGTTTTCATTGTATGATGGGATTAGCCAGTCGTTGTGATAATTAAATATATGCAGAGTAATCCAGAGTAAGTGTCATGGTTAACTTTCATGAAGGTGTGGGGTGATAGGGCTAGAATAAAAATGGAGAACCCAATACTGGTAAACTTCACCCCAAAAGAAAATCTCAGGAACCTCCTTTGCTGTCCTTGGGTTTTACTACAGTATAGAGTTTGCCGTTGAAACAAGACAGACAGAACTGATTTCTTTAACTTTTTCTATAGTGAGACAAACTGCAGACATTTCCAAGCTGTTAGAAAATTTTCTAGGGGAACCAGACTGGCCCCTGGATTCTCCAGAGTAACTAATTTGAGGACCCGAAGCAGATGACCAGCAGGAGATGACTGAATTAGACTTGATGGGGCAAGCCCTCCAGAATTGCTACCCTCAGGGGCTAACACTGAGAGGAGATATTGCCGGGGCCTGGGAATATTGTGCCCTGAAGCACAAGAGCAAGCAGGGTTAGCAGTATGGCCCTGTGAGGGCACTCGGGAGGGGTAGGTGCTACACAGTTGATGTTGAATGATGAGTAGTTGATGTTGCCCCTCACCAATGGGGATTTCGCTGATAGGTCTTATGCCATCGGCATCATAGCCTCTTCAAGACTTTCTTGGTAAGAGCAGCCTAGGCTTCATAAAGTTCTTAGAATGACATCACGCGTCGCCATGTTATGTAATGTGGTGACTTCCCAATTACATTTGAGTGATTTCACACATACTTCAGGACAGCTAAAAATACAATGTACTTCCATACCGTCGGTTTTCATGCAGTACCTGAGATCCATGAAAGAGAACCATTTTGTGTAAAATTCATTATTTTCATGGCCAGCTACAGTTGCCCTAGCTAAGCCTAGTTTTTCCCAAAGGTTTTTTCTTAATTTCTGTCAGCTAGTGGAGTTTTGGTTTCATGCCGCTGTTAGGCTAGCAGAGCTGAGCATTGGTGGAGTTGTTCTTCAGTCTATCGGCATTCAGTAGTGACATTTGTGTTAAAATATACCTAATCAGTTTAAATATAACTAGAACCACAACACCAGTAAGCACAATGCACCACTCAGTTCCGCACATATGACAGCAGGAAGTAACCGGATGCGCACATTCGCATGTTATTTAAAATGAAACTATTTAAATGGCAATCTGTGGCGTGCCAGAAATATAAACAGTGTCCTCACTCGTAGCTGGGTGCTACGGACTGCCACCAATATGTGGTGTCGGTGTGCATACCCTGATTGAAATCTATGTTTAGAATTCTACAATGCAAAGTGCTTTGTGGCACATCGTGGCGTAGCGACCAAGTGGCGCATCAGGTGTGCGACCCCCTTTATGCCTTATTCACACTAGCAATGTCTTTAAAGCTGGCTGATGCTCTGGGGTGCGTTTCCCAAACAAAGATGTAACTCGCAGCTGAACTATAATAGTATGATGCATCATTTAGGAAAAGAGCAATGTAGTGACGAGTGTTTCCCAAAACCCCTAGTTTCTCTGTTGCAGATCCATCACTTGAACCACGTTACTTATAGCGTAAAACCCCCATATTGATGCTCTAAAGGGGTGGAGTAACAACTTCTTTAGAGTAGAACCCCGTTATTTCTTTGTGCAAATTATATTGTTTTACACACACACACACACGCACACACGCACACACACGCACACACACACACACACACACACACACACACACACACACACACACACACACACACACACACACACACACACACACACACACACACACACACACACAAACACACACACATTTAAAATAAAATCCAATATTAGTTAGTATTAATTGAAATATATGTAAATGGCACATAGGGCCTTTGTTTGCTTTACTAATTCATTCATTCATTCATTTTCTTGTCGGCTTAGTCCCTTCATTAATCCGAGGTCGCCACAGCAGAATGAACCGCCAACTTATCCAGCAAGTTTTTACACAGCGGATGCCCTTCCAGCCACAACCCATCTCTGGGAAAAATCCACACACACATTCACACACACACTCATACACTACGGACAATTTAGCCTACTCAATTCACCTGTACCACATGTCTTTAGGGGAAACCAGAGCACCCGGAGTAAACCCACCTAAAGGTTGGGAGAACATGCAAACTCCACACAGAAACGGCAACTGAGCCGAGGTTTGAACTAGCGACCCTGCAACCTTCTTGCTGTGAGGCGACTCATACAATACAATTGGCCTTTGAGTGAGCTGAGAGAGGATTACGTGAGCTCTCCTGGTGCTCCTACTTGCTGTAATTTAAAAAAAGTCACTCTTCATGTGCAAAAAGTTAAAGATTCTCAACTTTGTCGTGTTGCGTAACATACCCACCTGGTCGCCAATGGTTGCTGTTGCACGTGTAGATGAAAGTCACCAGAAGTTGCTCGCTCTTCGTTAAAATTAATGATCTCTTGTCACTTTGACGCTGCGAGTTGCTCATAGTGTGAATGAGGCTTTACTCTCCTGCTAGCCTGACTGGTTGGAATGTTCCATGATCTAAAATATAGTTATGGATTTTTATCCTCTTTTTTTCATTTATGTTTATCTGCAGTGGCACAATCTACACAGTAAAATATAAAAATAAAAATTCAAGCCAGAGTCAGACAAAAGTTCTTTAAAAGTATAAAGTACTTTGCAATTAGGAATACTATGTAAGCGGTATTGCAGTATTTTGAACAGCATTCAGTATATTTCTTAGATAGACCCCCTTTAAAACATTTCCCAAAATGTCAAAGAACAGACATATTACACTTTTACAGAATTTCCAAAATCCATATGTCTTCTTCATCACTGACGAGCAGTATGCCTATTGAACAAGTGAAATAAATGGACTGAATCTGCACTCAGTGCACTCTGAACGTAACATGATAAGTCTACCCATTTCCAGCTACTCAGTATTCCTCAAAGTCAATGGCATTGACGAGGAACAGAGCCGGAGTTATTCTCCGTTTGCCTTTATAGCTGAAGAAGAGCCAGCGATCTTTGTCAGTGTGAGACCATGAGATCAATGTAATCTGTGAATGAAACCCATCTCCTGCAGCTGTGAGAGATCACTGAAGCTCATGTGACAGTAGCCGTGAAAACACTGAGATCATTGTCCAGCTGGACTCACCTTCTCTATCCGCAGAGGCAGGCCGTCTTTTTTCCACTTCACTGAAGTGACAGGCGGGTTGGCATCCACCGGGCAGCGGATGTACCCCGGCAGTCCAATGGCCACGTAAATAACGGGCGGCATGTTTATCACACGGGCAGGGTCTATGAGATAAAGAGAGGTTAAGAGAAGCTTAAATACACCTAATTAGACATGATGTTGAGTTTTGTGCATCGTTAAACTGTCTGAAAATTAAGAGGAAACATACTCTTTGAAATATTTAGCACAAATCTTCTGAATGAGTCAGGTATTCTTGGAAAAATATCATAAAGACTAAGAATTTGCCTGAAATGAAAAGGGCTAAGCAAGCCTGAGATTATTACTCACCACAGTAAGAGCCTTGGGATACAATGAGAAGAAAAAAAAAATTAAACAGAAAATCGTAAAATTTTCTAAAGAACACAGAGTTGAAAAGACATTCGTACGCTGTTGAAGGCTGTTTTTAATTCAGACAACCACAACAAAGAGCCCAAATCTATCACTAGATAAGGTCTGAGAGGCAAATCTTATCAAGCAGCCATAGTGTTTGAGCGGCAAACCTTATCTGGAGACAGATTTTTGCTCTAGATGACTAAACAGGCACTGTTTAGTGTTTGTAATGGGTTATCTTGTGTTGTTCAGACTGCAGGCAAATCTTAAATCAGATCTTTTCAGGCAGAATGTCTACATTATTGATTGCAAGTGATGAATCAGATTTGTGTGTCCAGACACAACCGGCAGATATGCATGAGTGGTTTTGATAATGATGTACTGTTGGAGTACTCTCCTACAAAGTACAGTACAACTTTAAAACAAGACTTTCGAAAGCCAAGAAGAAACATTTTTGTAGAAATGGCATAGTTACATTTGTGTTGTGACCCAAATGGGACTGAGGTTTAGGGGGGTGAGTGTAGCAGAGGCCAGCTAGTGGCATGCTTTGAAGGTAAACCTCACTCCTCTGACCTCTAAAGGTGCTCTAGTGGCAGATATTAGAGGCTATGGTCTTTAGCCTTCTTATAAGAGCAACTAACTCCCATGCGGAAGGTCACTGGTTCGATCCCAGCTCGAAGCAAGTTTGGTGGTGTAGGACCAGCGGGGTTACACAAGCGCCATGTCAAGTCATGGTGCAGGGAACTTATTGTGTAACTTTGACTTTCTTGTGTGCTTTTTAAGATCTAAAATTTCACTCGTGAGTGCCATTTGTGTCTGCTCTTCTCTTGTAAAGGGAGGCCGTCGACTGATTAATTGACTGTGCAGATACAACCATCTGGAGCTGAACATGCTCAAAGCAGTGGAGATGATAGTGGACTTTAGTAGAAATCCCCCCAGCCTCTGACCACTCACCATCACGTTCAGCACTGTGGCTGCAGCAGAGTCATTCAGGTTCCTGGGCACTACCATCTCTCAGGATCTATTTGGGGCATTCACATAGACTCTATTGTGAAGAAAGCCCAGCAGATACGTTACTTCCTTTGTAAGCTGAGGAAGTTCAACCTGCCACTGGAGCTGCTCGTAAAGTACTACTCAGCTGTCAACCAATCTATCTAATCTAGCTCAGCTACCAAACCCGAATTCTGTAGACTACAGTGAATAGTCTGGACTGCCGAACAAATTACTGGCACTACCCTTCCCACACTTCAAGAACTGTACTTTTCCAGAGTGAGTAAAAGGGCTTGCAAAATCGCTCTGGACCCCTCACACCCAGCACACTTCCTGTTTGTACTGTTACCATCTTGTCAGCGCTATAGAGCACCAAGCACCAAAACAGCCAGACACAGGAAAAGTTTCTTTCCGCAGGCCATCTACCTCATGAACAGTTAAATATTCCCCACTGTGCAGTATACATGTGCAATAATTTCTCATATGCAGACTTTCTCATACACAGCACCTTATAACTTGTATATCTATAACAAATCTGTACATACAATTCAAAATCCAGAGCTCTTTTGTCTAATCCATCTGTTTAATGTTTGTTGTCTTTTTCATATTTATTTTTGTGTTGTCACTTGTCACTTTATGTACACTAGAAGCTTCTGTAGCCAAAACAAATTCCTTGTGTGTAAAGAACACTTGGTAATAAAACCGGATCCTAATAATAAAATGAATTCTGATTAATACGGGATTCTCTCCACTTCAACAGGATTTTATTTCAGTTCAAAATCAACTACAGGATGATTTCTGATTAGTTTTTCCTATTTATATTGCATAAAGCCACTGTAAAGTGAAGCATATCAATAATGTTCTAAAAGAGATTCAGCTGCGTGTGACTCATAAATCACTGTCTCTCATTAGTGAGGACACCAGTCGACCACAGCCTGCTGGAGAGCTCCGAAAACACCACTTTAAAGAAATCCACTGCTCCATCTTAATGCTTAGCAAAGTGCCAAGGTCTATTTTTAGCACAAGTCGAGCTGAGGGGCGGGATGATGTGAGGAGTGCATCAGAAAGAGGTGTAGATTTAGGGATAAACTGATAGGATGGTTTTTCACTGATACTTTCTGTTTACAAAAAACCTGTGCAATGAGGGTATGAAGACTATGGTTTGCTTGGAGGTGGGCACATGTACAAAACTAACTAGCTACGTGTAAACTGGCAGGAAATCCAAACAGGTAACATCTGTATTATCTGTATTACACATCTGTATCTGTATCCAAACAGGTAACATCTGTATTATCTGTATTACACATCCGTATCTGTATCTGTATCTGTATCCAAACAGGTAACATCTGTATTATCTGTATTACACATCTGTATCTGTATCTGTATCTGTATCCAAACAGGTAACATCTGTATTATCTGTATTACACATCTGTATCTGTATCCAAACAGGTAACATCTGTATTATCTGTATTACACATCTGTATCTGTTTTACACATACAGTCACCTTTAAATTTCACTTTTAAGTAACACTTTGGTATACCGGCAGTTCTCACAATTAATTTGTGGATTACCGGCCTATCATTACAGCCATATCACCCTGCAGCCCAAGACTGGTTACTCACTGAAGCTAAGCAGGACTGAGCCTGGTCTGTACCTGGATGAGAGACCACATTTGAAAACTATGTTGCTGTTAGTGACGCTAACATGGGACACTCAAGTTGTGGTCTGTGTGAGTCCTAATGCCCCAGTATAGTAAAGCGGACACTGTACTGTCAGTGAGTGCAGTCTTTCGGATGAGACGTTAAACTGAGGTCCTGACTCTCTTTGGTCATTAAAAATCCCATGGCACTTCTCATAATATTATGTGTTCTGGCCAAATTCCCTTCACTGTCCCTTACCCATCATGGCCTCCCAACTCTTCCCATCCACCAAATTCACAATATCACTGTCTTTCCACCACACCGATAGCTGGTGTGTGGTGAGTGCATTAGCGCCATTGTCCTGTGGCTGCCGTCGCATCATACAAGTGGATGCTGCACTGGGGGTGGAGTGGGAAGACCTGTCTCATGATTGTGAAGCGCTTTGTGTGTATGGCCATACACGGTAATGCCCTATATAAATGCACACATTACATTAAATTATTATCAAGATATTAGCTATTTATTAGTAATTAATTAAGAACTCTATATTCTTGATATATATCCCTAATTTTAAAGGTATATTACCTTGATAACTACTAATATTAAGAAAATTAGGAGTTAGTAATTGAGCTAAAAGTCATAGTTTATGGTTTATTAATAGTTAGAACTGCACCTTAAAATAAAGTGTGGCCCAGCTGTTAACTTTAAGTTACATCATTCATTCATTCATTCATTCATTCATTCATTCATTCATTCATTCATTCATTCATTCATTCAGTCATTATCTTTTGGCTTAGTCCCTTATTTATCAGGGATTGCCACAAGGGATGTATTTAACCAATAAGTGAGGTAAGCAGTCAGCCACTTAGGGCCAAAGGAAATTTGGGGGCCCCTAATAAATACCTAAAAGTATAAATTATACCTACAAATTATTTAGGTTTTTAATTCTATCATATTTTGTATGGTGAGGGTCTAACAACTCAAATTTTAATGCACTTAAAACATCCATGCAATGGTGTCCCTCACTCTAAATGGAGCAGTCCAGCAGTCAAATCGGATAAAGATTTAATTTTAAAAATTCATTCATTCATTTTCCTTCCGCTTAGTCCCTTTATTAATCATGGGTCACCACAACGGAATGAACCGCCAACCTAACCAGAACATCTTTTACACCGCGGATGCCCTTTTAGTTGCAACCCCGTCTTTCGGATGAGACGTTAAACTGAGGTCTTGATTCTCTGTGGTCATTAAAAATCCCATTGCGCTTCTTGTGGAGAGTAGGGGTGTAACCCCCGGTGTCCTGACCAAATTCCCTCCATCGGCCCTTACTGACCTCCCAATCATCCCCATCCACTGAATTGGCTCTATCACTGTCTATCTACTCCCCCTATAGCCGGTGTGTGGTAAGCGCACTGGCACTGTTGTCCTGTGGCTCCAAGTGGATGCTGCACACTGGTGGTGGTGTGGAACCCCCCTCACACTCACATTCACACACATACACTACGGCCAATTTAGTCTATTCAGTTCACCTATAGCGCATGTCTTTGGACTGTGGGGGAAACAAGAGCACCCAGAGGAAACCCATGCGAACACAGGGAGAACATGCAAACTCTACAAAGAAATGCCAACTGACCCAGCCGGGACATGAACTAGCGACCTTTTTGCTCTGAGGTGAAAGTGCTAACCATAAGTCCCCTTGTCACCCTATTAAAAAAAAAAAGTATTCTTTTTTGTTGTTTTCACTGACTCACACACTACACTATGGCTTAGTCCCTGAGAAATCCCAGAGAAATGAACTGCCAATTAGAAAAGAAGATATACAAAAAAGTAAATAAATAAAAAAAATAAAGGGTGCACATTAGGACTATGGCTGGAAATGTTTACAACATCCCAGCCCTTTTTTAGATTGTATGCTGATGGTTTTCAATTCCTCAAAATTTACACACACACATAAACACACACCAAAAGAGCAAAATACAAGTGTGTTTTGAAGACTAGAAATGCGAATAAAAAAAAGAAGAGGAGGGACCTGCAATGCCTCCAGCCGTCTAACGAGGCCGCCAGCGTCCACACTACCAGCTTGCCAAAGCGTCTGCAGGTGACGTCACTGCAGAGAAGAGGGTTTCCACACACGATGATGTCATCCTTTACACACCCCCACCTCTCTTTTTCACACTTACTGTCAAACAGTCTTTCTCTGCGCCTCTGCTCGCTACACACACAGACAGCCAGAATACATGAGATGCTTTCAAAGAGAGACAGCTGAAATTTCCTGCAGTCTGGGAATTCTGCTATGATGTAATCCCTTCGACCGAGTCCAACACAGACTGCTCTGCTTCCTCCGAGAAAAGGGAATTCAAAATATCTATTGCATTTATTACCAGAGCAACTTTTCCAGCACTCAGATCTTGCTCTATTACTGGCAAATATGGCATGCTTAGGGTTGATTTACTAAAAAAAAGCAAGATTCTTTGCATCAATCTATCAGCGTAAAGAAAGTGAGCCATGGCTGAGTGATCTGCTAGCTTACTGACTCAAGGTCACCGTTTCAATTCGGCTCCAGACTCCCAGGACAGAAGGCCATTCCAATCTCTGGGCTGCAAATAGAAAGTGTCAGGCTGCCCAACAGCAGCAGTTCAAACTATTGCTCGTGGTCTATGTGTTGAATACGCTGGGAGACTTCAGTAACCCTTTTTTATCAATTATAAAAGATCATACTGTAAGGAAAAGCCGCTATCCAGTGTACTGTATGTGATTTGATGTGAAATCTGGCGCGTGATAAAAAGGCATAATCTGTGCCCTTGTGTTGGTTCATTTTCACGCTCAATCCAGTGAGACCAATGTCACAGATTTGAGGATGAAGGAAAATTCCTGCTCTATTACATCATGTGTGATGTTACATAATACACAAGGCAACTAGGAATTTCTGCTGCATTTAAAATAAAACTGCTACAGTTAAAGGTTGTCAAGGTATGGAATTTAATAAAAGACATATTTATTTAGAATATGTATTGAAAACCAGTTAAACCAGGGGTTTTATGTTATACTGTATTATTTACTGTAGGCTGAGGAACATCTGAGAGAATTAAATGTTTTTATTATTTATTTACAATTTTCTCAGTGGCTTTGATACATTTCTCAGATCAGAGTTGAAATTCTCAAAACTAACAGTTCAACATTCAGATTATTGTGTCACTTGTGCACATTAAAAAAGCAGTTTTTCATGACTTTGAACAAGCTGCAAATGCTTTGGTACATCCCTGCAAATGATTATGTGCAGTTCTCTTCTGTGTCCTACGTTATCAAATGCTCATGTCAGGTTGATCAAAATGTATAATTTTGGTCTCTGTTGAATAATCTCACCACCCACAACATTAAATCATTTGTTCATGGCATAAGTTTGGCTTAACAAGGCTAAACAAGTTGTCTTATTATTTCGTCATAGTGCGTTTTTCGATGTTTTGTTCTGAATTTGTCAAGAATTGGTACATTTCTCCCAGGTGATTTTTGAGTTTTTCTAATGAAGGTTGATCTCAAAGGTCTTATGCTAACATTTCTACTTTTGTTTAGTTTTTTCTTTGTGTTATGCAGTGGTGTCTTCTCCTTTCTATATCACAATGACATGATCTGGCAACAAATTACAGTACAAATCGCAAAAAAAATTTAAAAAGTCAGAACAATTCTCCAGAGTACACTGTTATATTGACAACTTGACTAAGTAAGTAAGTCTCATCCATGCACAATGACATTTATTGACACAGAAATTTAGTTTTGAGAGATGAACAAAGGATTTTGAGTCAGAGACTAGCTTTTGCAGGTAAACCCATGCTGTTTTGCTATTTGTACATGTTGTTTTGAGAATAAACTTACTGTTTTGCAAATTTTAGTTCTGATCTGAGAAATGTACCAAAGTGACTGAGAAAAACTCTTAACGTAATTTAAACCTAGAAACTAGAATTATTATTTATTAGTTTGTTTAAAAAATAAACAAAAATCATATTGTTAATACTTCATTCATACCTTTATTTATTTATTAGTTTTTTGATTTGTGATTTTTTTTTATTAGTTAATCTATTTTTATTTTGTCATTTATTTGTTTACACAAGATTTCAATAATTAATCACATATTGTTAGACGTCTAATTTTTTATAATAATTAATTTAATTGGAACAATTACATTAATTCATTACAAATTAGATTTTTTTTAGAAAAAAGGTTTGTTGATTTATTCATTATCTAATTTAACATTTATATATCCATTGTACTGTATGTTTCTTCATAAAATATTAATTTAAAAGGACATTTTATTTTATGTAATTTATTTTATTTAATCATTCATTAGTTTATTTTTAACCAAACTAACTAAAGTTATTTTTGTTTGTTTACTTATAAACAAATGAAAATTATGACATTAGGATATTCTTTAATTTAACCATTTGTTTACTGTGCAAAATATCAAATGTTCCTGATTTCAGAAGCATTAAATCAGGGGTCACCAAACTTGTTCCTGGAGGGCCGGTGCCCTACAGATTTTAGCTCCAACTCTAATCAAACACACCTGAACAAGCTACTGGATTTACTTGAAACATTCAGACAGGTATGTTGAGGCAAGCTGGAGCTTAACCCTGAAGGGACACTGGCCCTCCAGGACCGAGATTGGTGACCCCTGCAATAAATGATGCTAAACCTCAACCATCATACTCAACAAAACAGAAGTGCCTACAGTTTCATTCTCAGATTCCCACCGTATGATCAGCAGGACTTATTGACAAGAACTAAAAATACCAAATCGATATACTCTGACGGTTTCTCGCCTACACAGCAAAGTTTATTTCAGCATCTGCACAGCACAATGCAGACCGTTTTAAGAAGCACCAGGGAAGGAGAAATGCTTCGAAATGAACGACAATAGTGAAGTGACTGACTCACAATGCACTGTCAGGTACGCTGATGCTGAAGGTGGGCGGCCGAGGCTGTTACTCGGACTGCAGGTGTATTTCCCAGCATCCTCTGGTTTCACCTGGGAGATGATGAGTGAACCATCGATCAGAATACTCACTCTGCGCTTCAGATCACTGCACAGAGAGAAAGCCAGATTGACAAAGAAGAAGAAAAGAAAAAAAGGGAGATGAGTTAGCATCTGTAGCACACTGTTAATGATGATAATCCCCATAGTTACATTATCTCTATAACTTACGGTTTGGTTTGCCAAAAGTTTTTTAGTTGTAGTATTTCCCCATCTTATCATGTGTAATGTATTTCATCACTAAAAGCATCATTGGTGAGACTTCCCGGCAGGCACAGGATGTCAACATGACGTTTGATTGACATACCTCAACGTCATGGGACATTGAAACACATGAAAATTGTGTTGACATCAAAACCCAACACCAGGCCAACGTCAATGTCGAATGTCGGACATTGTTACATTCCAACGCAACCTAAAAACAACAAAATATCAATGCCTAATGTTGTTACAGCTTGACTTTGTGTTGACATTGTCAATATGACGCCTTTCAGACATTGAATTTTGGCTGCCATACATGACAAAAAAAATATTAGTATTTGATGTCAATATAACGTTGGTTTAAGATGTTGGCTCGACGTTGGATTTTGGTCACTTTCCAACACAACCTAAAATCAACGAAATATCAACATAATTTTACGTCTTTATTGGATGTCAAAATAACATTGTCCTTAGATGCTGGTGAAATAAATCTAACCTAATATTAATGTCTAATAACGTTGTGTAGAACGTGCGCAGAAATCCACAGATTTCTGCAGATTTTTAGTCCATCATTGAGACTATTTTGTACTTGTGTAAATGTGTGTAAACTTATACATATTAAATTTTTTAAATTAATTTTAGTAACATTATTAACAAATAAGAAAATGTTTATGCAATTTATTTACAATACAGTTTGGTAGATACTGTATATTATATGAGAGACTTGCCAATTAAGTGGATCTAATTGGATTTGCATTGGAAACATTAAATAAAAGTAATTAAAGATATTATTTTTTATTTTATATATTAAGTTTTTAGTTATGGCTGCACGGTGGTGCAGTGGGTAGCATGTTCGCCTCACAGCAAAAAGGTCGCTGGTTCGAGCCTCAGCTGGGTCAGTTGGCGTTTCTGTGTGGAGTTTTCATGTTCGCATGGGTTTCCTCCGGGTGTACCGGTTTCCCCCACAAGTTCAAATGTGGTACAGGTGAACTGGGTAAGCTAAATTGTCTGTAGTGTATGTGTGTGAACAAGTGTGTTTGGATGTTTCCCAGTGGTGGGTTGCAGCTGGAAGGGCATTCGCTGCGGACATGATATTCAGACATGACTGTCAGAATATGCCCCTTTGTGGCAGATGCACAGAATTCTCAGCTTAGTCGTGTATCATGGGAGAGAATCTGATTCTCGCGGTGTCTGAAATAAAGGAGTGCAAAACAAAAGCCTTTATTCTCTAAACCCCCATACTTTTTGTGCAAATTTTTTTTTACACACACACATTTAAAAAAAATTCCAATATTAGTTTTGATAAAAACATGTACTTGTTTTTCATATAAACTGAAATATATGTAAATAGCACATATAGGGCCTATGCTTCCTTTACAAATAATATTGAGAATATTCCCTTTTGTATTCTATATCATAAAATCTCTTGGCTAACATGTATTTTATTTGTATGTATAAATCATACAAATCGTTAATGGTTGTAATTTACAGTAGGGTATTTATTAAGAATAAAAATCCTACTTAGTAATAATAATAATAATAATAATAATAATAATTACTATATACTATAATGTTTTTTAATAATAAAAAAAAAAGTCTACTTTAATTTAATTACACATTCAAACCACTGCAAAAATGTTCTAATCAACAGACCCATGTCATATAGTCACGGGGGCAATTCAGATCATTTTGGGAGGGCACTTTCTATCCAAGACTAGAAAGGGCATGTGCACTGCACAGGTTGAGCTCTATGTGTGCACGTGCCTGTGTTCAAGTCAAGGAACGACGAATTTATGAAACACAAAATCAACAAACTATGATAGTAATGAAGCAACTTGTGACCTTAGTTGGTCTGACTAATCGACAGGCAGTCACAAAGCCGCTGCTAGGGTGAGGCATTATTTGTTTTAATTGGAGTAGAATAATACTATGTTGCAAAATGTTTTTTTTTATTGTCTACAGAATAAACCTTTATTATACAATGAACATAGTTGAGCTTTTAATTACACTTTAAGCTGAATAATAGTATCTTGGAAATTATTTAGTAAAATACGATGTCCTGTCATCATGGGAAGAATAAAAGAAATCAGGTATTAGAAATAATGAGTTATTAAAACTATTATGTTTAGAAATGGGTTGAAAAAATATACAGGGGGTGAGAATTTAGGAGCGCTAATAATTCTGATTTCAATTGTATATATATTATTATCCTCATAATATGTATGCCTCATGAATTATATTTTCTTTCAACATGAACAGATGGAGCGTCCCAGGCCGAGATCAGAAAAAAAAGAAAAAGAAAATCGCTCCAGTGGACAAAATGACTGTGTGGCCTCTATTTTTCCACCTGTCCTGTTGCACAGAGCCTCGATTTGAAAAAGAAAAAAAGCATATTATCCCTTTTCTATAGAGTGTACTGGCCACGCATGAGGGCATCTTGAATGGCTCAGGGCCCCTGCTTATAATCAGTGCTAGTGGAGCGCATGATGACACAAGCACCATGTCACTGGATATTCTTGTCATAGGGAGACAAGAAAAAGAGCCAGCCATGAGAACCCAAGAGCCTCGACAGTCAGGCTACAGTTATAGTTTATGATAGTGGTCATTTACTTTGTGCTTTTTCCTGTTCAAGGTTAACACAGAGGACACACTATTTTCAGTATGTGTTCATTTAGAAAACTAGGCTGTGATGTGTTTACCTTAGCACTATGCTAATGCTGCAGTCAACTGTAATCAGTTGGTGTTTCTTTAAAGAGTTTCTATGTTTAGCATTCACACTTTCACATATTTTCACATGTATGTGTAATCCCAGAGGTGTGAATATGGATGTTAAGTGCAACTGTTGTGTTCTGGAATTAAAAACACGAGTTTTCTTTATACAGTAGAAGGTTTAGTGTGAGGTTATTATCAAGCACAGTGATAGTTCAGTCAGGGCATGACTATCTGCTCCAACCACTGTCATTCTATTAGAACAGATATAGGTGGCACACAGCTCAGTAAGTACAGTTAAACTGCTTGCAAACCCATTTAAAAGTTTAAATATATTTAAATATATTTGTGCAGTTCCTGACTGTCATCACTCGTTTCAGACTACCAAGCGCCAAGCACTAGTCTTTGCCGAAGAACAGAAATCCTCCACAGCATGCTTCAGCAATGCATTCTATCGCAATGTCCTCATGATACAACTCAATTAAATCTTCATCTCCTGTATTTAGCAAGCTTATAGTTCCGGGGTTAATGCAGAATAGTTGTATGCGATAGTAAGCATGAAGAGAGAAACCCCATTAAAAACCATACTGCTAAATATGCATTTGTTATTAAATGCATTTGAACTCGAAGTGGTCTGGTCAAAGGTTCAATTATACATGCTTCTTTTGAACCTGTTAACATTAATTCAACTTCATTTTTATACAAAAAGATAATTATAAATATTTATATATACAGTTGAAGTCAGAATTATTAGCCCCCCTTTGCATTTTTTTTTCCTTTTTAAATATTTATAAATGATGTTTAACAGAGCGAGGACTTTTTCACAGTATGTCAAATAATTTTTTTTTTCTTCTGGAGAAAGTCGTATTTGTTTTGTTTCACAGAATAAAACAAAAGAATTTTTTATTTTTTTAAAACAATTCTAAGGTCACATTTTTTAGCCGCTTTAAGCTATATATTTTTTGATAGTCTACAGAATAAATCATTGGTATACAATAACTTGTTTAATTACCCTAACCTGCCTAGTTAACCTAATTAACCTAGTTAAGACTTAAAATGAAACTTTAAGCTGTATAGAAGTGTCTTGAAAAATATCTAGTCAAATATTATTTACTGTCATCAGGGAAAAGATAAAATAAATCAGTTATTAGAAATGACTTATTAAAACTATTATGTTTAGAAATGTTATAAAAAAATAAACAAAAATTAAATAAAAATTGGGGAGGGGGGAAATAAACAGGGGAGCTAATAATTCAGGGCGGCTAATAATTCTGACTTCAGCTTGCCTTTGACAAAGATTGCCATTTTAAATTTAACATAACCTTTTATTTCTTTGTTTTATTGCCGAGATACAAAAAAGCCACCTGAAATTAAATTATATAATCAAATGTTGTACATGAATCAGACTTGGAAATATGTAAATACTGTCCCTTGACAGATAGCGGTAGAAGTAAATAAAGGTTGATAAAGTTAAATGCAGGAGCAGCTCAATTGGTGTTTATGTTTTTACTGTAATAAGTTCATTATAACATCTTAAAATAATTCTGCATAAGTTAATAAGATTTAAAGTAAAAATTTTTAGTTATTGTTAAACATTTTAGAATAATTAAGAAATTTCCCATGCCAAATTTATTATATACACTTTGGTATATGTTCGCCCCGCAGCCCTTAATCAGTTTGCTTTTTTGAGCTTTACAGGAAAAAGTTTGGGCACCCCTGCTCTAAGCTTCAATCTCAAACTATTCATTTTTGTGTGTTTTTTAAACATAAAATCTATTGTCTGACATGTAAATAATGCAGAAACAAAAAAAAGTGCAGTTGGAGAATCCAAGTCTGTTTTCCTTTTTTCCAAGAACTGAAAAAAGCAACAATAGCTAGTAATTATAAAATGCAAATCTCCTTATGTGACTTCACCAAAAATCTAGTGGTCAGCTGCAAGCATGTGTAGTTCAACCAATGTAAATATTACAGAATTTAATTGTTCTAAAGATATCAACTTCATTTTGTTATTGTGCTGATAACATTATTAAAAATTCCATTTATCAGTCCATTTCGTTATAATGCGCCGGTATATTATGCACCTATCAAGTGATTATTTGAAATAGTTGGTGCTGCACATTACATTCAGATCTTTAGAACATTCATACAAGCACACAGGATAAGTGAAAAATAAATAGAGGATCTGATGTGCATTTGACACAATGATACAATGACACTTCTGAGAGATTTTATGATTCTATGATTGCAAAAAAATTATTTTCTACATTAAATATAATATGCATATTTAATTTACACAACACAATTGACACGGAATTTAAAATGAAAATGTAACGATTTAAACTACCAGTGGGTATTTTGTTTTCGATGGAAGTCTCACCAAATCTGCATCGATTTAACCAAAAACACAGTAACAAGGGCAATTTTTTATTTGAATATACTATTTTAAAATGCATTGTATTGATGTGATGGTAAAGCTGACTTCTCAGCATTAATAATTATTATTGATCCTTGAGAAATATTTCTAATTGGCTGATTAGGTAATATATGCAATTGACACATACATACAAAGTCATATTTGGATTTTACATATTAAATGATTGCAAAATAAAATATATTTAAGAAATATATTACATATACTGTATATAAATTGATAGCTAATACATTTGAACATTTATGTTCATATTTAGCTGCGATCACATTAGAGTTTGAGCATGCGATATTCTGGGAATAAACAAGCTTTTTAAACATTTTTAAAAGCGAGCGATTGCTCCATGTTTTCAATTTCTGTCCAGAGATATCATGTTTTGATCCTCGATTGTTCTCACGCAGTAGAGTGATGCGATTTCGCAGGTCAGAGTTCACCAAGCTTGAACTTTGCAGTGCAGCAACTTGCGAAACTTGACACATGACCCCGCGTTTCCGGTCTGACGTATTCGCGTGCGTATGAATGGAAGTCTAGGGGAGGAAAAGCTCAGTGTGACCGCAACTTAAGTCATTCAAACGCTTGAAACACTCACAGGTCATTTATTAGGTACACCTGTCCAACTGCTCGTTAACATAAATTTCTAATCAGCTAATCACATGGCAGCAACTCAATGCATTTAGGCATGTAGACATGGTCAAGACAATCTGCTGCAGTTCAAATCGAGCATCAGAATGGGGAAGAAAGGTGATTTAAGTGACTTTAAACGTGGCATGGTTGTTGATGTCAGTTAAGCTAGTCTGAGTATTTCAGAAACTGCTGGTCTTGCTTTCTGCTATGACATTTGGATGGTAAGGTCAGAATTTGGCGTCAACAACATGAGATCATGGATCCATCCTGCCTTGTATAAATGATTTAGGTTGGTGGTGGTGGTGGTGGTGTAATGATATGGGGGATATTTTCATGGCACACTTTGGGCCCGTTAGTACCCTTTTAGCATCATGTCAACGCAACAGCCTACCTGAGTATTATTGCTGACCATGTAGGCCATGAGGCCATGAAGGATTAAGGCAGTTCTAAAGGCAAAAGTGGGTCCGATCCGGTACTAGAAGATGTAACAAATAAAGTGGCCGGTGAGTGTATATACAGTATATACTGTATCTGAAAGAGGCCATTTTTGCAATATTTTGAAATAGATGTTGCATATTTGCATATGAAAGATTTAATTTAAGTGAAATCCAAATATGAACTTGTGAAAAATCAGAAAATATAAAGTATGTCATTTTGCATATATTTTTCATGTTGTATGTCATATTTCTGTTTAGGAAAAAAAAAAAATTTGTAACTATATAATGTCACTTTTGATCATTTGACAAATTCCTCCAGAATGAAAACTTTTGAATGATAGTTTATACCAATATCAATTAATTATTTACTAATTGTGAGTTCAGTTGACAAGAAGGACTCTAAAATGTTCCATCTACAACTATGCATTAAAACTGGACAACAGGACATTTAAAAATGCAACAAAACAAATGTTTGACCAAAACCTACAACAGTATCACAATGCCCAGAGTCCCTAATGGCAAACTCACTGATGCCTCAATGATGATGACGAAACTACATGGACTGTGACAAACTCCACATGGACACAGGACAGTGGGGGAATGGTACAGTAATGAACCCGATCATAACTTTACTTCTTGAAGAAGACGTTATCTTCCTCCCAGAACCAGGTGTATGTTAGGTTGCCAGGGTAAGCCTCGGCCTGACAAGTGAAGAATGCATCCTGGGAAATGTTTACGGTTATGTTCTCTGGCGGTGAGACAATAAATGGGGGTCCTGAAATAGAAAAAGAGACACATAATAAATCAGAATTACATATCGGGACAAATCTCATCCTATTGGAGCATATAGCAATCTCCATTCTGTTCAAGGTCAAAGTGTGCAGTGGTGGAGAAAAGATTTGAGATAACTGTTTTCAATCATGGAGATTTTCGTTCTGACATTTGGTCATTTGCATTCAACAACTGTTAGACAATCTCAATCGATGGTGGAGTGAATGCACAATGAATGTCGCACTCAATCAATACCCCATTTATGATGGTGTACAAACTGAATTAAGTGTTAAAATATAGCAGCAGTCCAAAATTTTAATAGTGAGTGTTTGTTTCAAACTACTTAATGAGCATTTTTACAGTGTATGTTTACCAAGAATGCACTTGGTAAAAAACTGGTTAAAAAGTTACAGTTTCAATCAATTTAACTCAATTATTAAGTTATTAACTTAATTAAAAACAATATAATCTTTTTTCTTTTACATTTTTTTTAAAACTTGATTAAATATTCAGTAATTTAATTAATTTTTTTAATAATTATTATTAATAAATGCATTCCTTCGGTGGCAAAACAAAACACATATAACATAAAACAAAATGAAAGGTCTTGGTTATCTTTAATTATTCCAGACTTTTAACCAGTAGTGTACACTACCTGACAAAAGTCTTGTTGTTGATCTCAGTTGTAAGAGCAACAAATAATAACTTGACTTCTAGTTGATCATTTAGAAAAGTGGCAGAAGGTAGATTTTTCTGATAAATCATCTGTTGAACTGCATCCCAATCATCACACATACTGCAGAAGACCTATTGGAACCCACATGGACCCAAGATTCTCACAGAAATCAGTCAAGTTTGGTGAAGGAAAAATCATGGTTTGGGGTTACATTCAGTATTGTGGGGTGCAAAAGATCTGCAGAGTGGATGGCAACAACAGCCTGAGGTATCAAGACATTTGTGCTTCTCCTTCTCATACTTTAGCCTTCACATCAAATTTCCTCAAAGTAAAGAAGGTCAAGGTGCTCCAGGATTGGCCAGCCCAGTCACCAGATTTGAAAATTATTGAACATGTCTGTGGTAAAATGAAGGAGAAGGCATTGAAGACGAATCAAAAGAATCTTGATAAATGCTGGGAGTCCTGCAAGAACGCTTTCTTTGCCATTCCAGATGTCTTTATTGATAGGTTATTTGAGTCATTGCAGAGATGTATGAATGCAGTCCTCCAATCTCATGGGAGTCATGCACAATATTAATTATTTTTCCACTGCAGCATGACATTATATTCTATGCTGTACATTATTTCTGTTAGGTGACAGGACTATTGTCCAAGCAAAGTTAGACCTAATTAAAATAATTACAAATCAAGGTATGATCCTATGTTATTTTGGTAAAATAAGCATAGTCCAGAGGTATTTGGCTTTTTATATAAGCCACTTCAGATTTTAAATGGTCAACTACAAGTCAGGTTATTACTTCTTGTTCCTAAAACTTGGATAGGCAACAAGACTTTTGTCTGGTAGTGTATGGGTTATTGTAGGTATGACTGTATTTCATATATTTGGATCAGCCACCTCATTTGATCCTCTCTGTCTAAAATGACATGAATTAATACAGAGTAAGAATCTGTAGAGAGCGACCAAAAGATCTCACTCAACCACCCACAGTGGGCAAGTCTTCAGTTGGCAGTGCCAGTGTAAAAAGAGGGCTCTTCTGTGGGGAAAGCCTGCAGACACAGACTGTGCACATTCACATTTAGGACACCCACACTAGCACACACCAACTTGTCTACAAAATCTGGTGTCTTCAGATTTTTCAGCACATTTATATGCCAGCTATGGAGTGTTATTAAAACCTACTCAGAATTTTCTTTCCTTTTTGTGATGAGATGGTGTTATTAAAATGCCAATTCTTACAGTTTGGATTGTCATGACCATTATGCACTCTCAAAAATAAAGGTTCAAATGGTGTCACTAGGATGGTGCCATTTTCAAGGTGCATTTTTGTGTCCTAAAGGGTACAAGGTTACTAAAGGGTCAATATTGGTACAGTATATATAAGCTATATATTAATACCTATAGGGTCTATATTGTACCTTAAAGGATACTGATGCTTTGAATTGCTTTAGTCACGTGACCTGGGTGCTTCAAAAAATTTTAGTTACATGACCTGGTGTTTTAGATAATACTTCAGTGGAGTGTTTTGAAATACATGCGCTTAGGATCTCGACACGGTGTCGAAATGCCAGTTTCGCGTCAGTTATCCCTACCTTCTGTGTTTCTTGACCTTTGCTTTGTTTATTGTTTTATGTTGTTTTCCTGCCTGTCTCTGCCATTTGCCTTTACTCTGATCGAGCTTTTGGTTTATCTGCATGCTTCTGTCAGTCCCTTTTTTGACCTTTTGCCTGCCTGACAACTCTCTTAACAAACTCCATTTCTGATCATCAACTCTGTTGTACGCTGACTCATTACATAAAGAACATTTCAATATTTAGTTTTTTTTTTTATTTTGAAAGAGTAAATGAGACAAGAGTAAACAAACTGCCATCTTCTGGGAAAGAGCTGGAGAACTGCAGCTCATTTGCATTTAAAGAAACACACAAAAACAGCTTTTGCTTCCACTTCACAAGGATCCTTTACAACACAGTTTAATAAATGATCCCTGACATATTTTGAGCTGATGCTTTACAGACATATATTGGAACTTACAGTATATTACATCTTTCAAAAAGAGCATGACAGCACTGTGCAATAATGTGTCTGGCTTATGACCTTTTCAGATAATTCCATAAGGGGTCTATACATGGAAGTCTTTGCTGCAGACACTGCAAATACTGTAATAATAAAGAAAAACATTGGGATCGTTGTTATTTAATATCTAATTATTTAGAGGACATTTATCATTATATTATCTCAGCGCAACATAATAACAAGAAACTCATAATAAAAGCTTACAATGTCAAAATAATAAAAAAATATCTAATGTTAGTCTCATAATAACCCTTAGAAAACAAATGTAATATCTATGACTTGTATAAATAACATTCTTTTCCATAATAATGAGAAACTTTCTTTCAATAATGATATGGTTTATTATAGGTTGTTAGAAAAATTCTCATTATTGAAGGAACAATTCAAATTTTGACATAAACAATCCTATTTATACCAATTTTTTTTTTATTAAACTTGCACACAAATATACCCCTTCATCAACTGCAAATCAACACTGGTTGTCTTCTTATTCAGTTAGCGTCATAATTAACAGCATCAAATGCCCATCATTAAATTCATTCAACCAAAATTATTCAATACAGTGTGTTAAAAGAATAAAACTGTTTATAATTGTTTAGAATAATAAAATAATCAGTTAAAACTAAATGCAAGTTAGTTTGATACTGGTTTGATTGGCATTTGATGAGACAAAAATAGAAAATGGTGCTTTATTGTTGTGAAAGAGGTTAATAAAGAGTACATTTCTAGAAATCCGTTCACTGAAATCTAATTTTAACATCACTTGTTTTTGTACAAATATCTTTACAAGCAGAGTATATTTATAATTCTCCATGCACTCAAGCTTTGGTTAAACTGCTTTCATTGAAACATGCAATGTTAGCAAATTCATAATAAAAGTGCATGATTAGGTTCCAAGCAAGCAGACACAGAGCAGATTAACCACCCCAACTGGAATAAAGCTTCTTTGGCTGTACTATTGTGAAAAGTCTATCTGACAGCGAACCCATTACTGCTTTATACTGTACCAGACAGCCAACATATGGAGTCCAATTATCTCTGTAGCTCTGCAGCATGGGTGCCATGCAGCATGCAGTTTTGCAAGCATGATTTTACACACACACACATACACACGAACATAAACACACAGAGGACTGCTAAACAAAACAGCACAGCACAATCTGACAACGTGACCGTGATGCTGTTCAATTAACAGCCAACTGTAAAGTGATGGAGAAATGGAGAAGTGGTACCTTGGACGAGCAGGCGTGTGGTGTGAACTGCCTCTCCTTGTTCGCTGTATGCCCGGCATGTGTACGCACCCCTATCCTCACGGCTGATGGAAACCAGTGTCAGACTGCCATCACTCACCTGTGGAGAGAGGTAATAGCATCACCAATGAGATTCAAATGAACAAATCTCATTATCATAGAGAAAATCATCTCACTGACATGCTATGAGAATTACAATAAGTACTGATAAATATTAATATTAATATTAACATAATTAGTACATAATTATAAACATAAACATAACATACAATTTAAAACATAATCATTTAAAAAATATTTGTAATTTAAGTTTTAGCATAAGCATACATTAAATACATCTTTATATATTATTATTACAAAAATAACTATAATAAATGTAATATCTATAATAAAATGTAATAATAAAATGTAATAATAATATAATATAATATAATATAATATAATATAATATAATATAATATAATATAATATAATATAATATAATATAATATAATATAATATAATATAAAATAAAATAATGTAATAATGCAGTGATTCTCAACTTTTTTCACTTTTTTCTCTGATCAATATTTGAAGGCCCACTTGTCTGACATATATGGACAAATGTAAAATACAGTAAAACACCCTAAATCTGCTGAAACGCGTCAATCTGATGGCGGTCGAGTTTGCAGCTGGATATTATTGGGAGATCGCTAGCCGGAATAGTCAACAGCTCTGCCAGAGCATGTCTGAAGCTCATATGCAAGTTTATTTTACATTCTATGGCAAAAACACAATTGAGGCTCGCTAGATCCTATATGGACGCGCGTCCATTATAACACACTCACAGGACATTGATAACTATGCGGATATATTAAATAGTTAAATGGTTCCCACAAAGATACTTCCGTGTACTAGCTGCAGACGTGATTATGAGGCTGTTTTTGCGCCAATCCATCAGCGAACAGGGGAAAGTGTATTACTTTAATCATTTTAATATAGCATATTAATAATAAAGCCAAAAATTATAGTATAATATTGAGAGTTAATTTTAAGCTATCTTGCGGCCCACCTGTAGGATCACTGAGGCCCACTAGTGGGCCGTGGCACAACGGTTGAGAATCCCTGATATAATATAATATAATATAATATAATATAATATAATATAATATAATATAATATAATATAATATAATATAATATAATATAATATAATATAATATAATATAATATAATATAATATAATATAATATAATAATAAAATATAGTATAATATAATATCATATAGTATAATATAGTATAATATAATATAAAAATATAATATAATATAATATAATATAACATAATATAATATAATAAAATATAATATAACATAGTATAATATAATATAATATAATATAGTATAATATAATATAATATAATATAATAATAAAACATAATATATTATAATATAATATAATATAATATAATATAATATAATGTAATATAATATAATAATATAATATAACATAACATAACATAACATAACATAACAAAATATAATATAATATAATATAATATAATATAATATAATATAATATAATATAATATAATATAATATATTATAATATAATATAATGCATGCTTTATATGCATACATAAAATTCAACAGCGTTACTATTATAGTATATACTATTATAATGAATCAAATAAAATAATACATTAAGATTTAATGCTAATATTAAACATATTTTTCCAATGACTGCGATACTCACATCTGATATACTGTATGTTTCTTTCCATTCAACACATGTTTCATAAAAGAGGCCGCTCTCACAAGGTTACATAACAGCTCATGAAGAATGAAACAATTTGATAAAACAAACTGTCTCGCACACCGTACAATCAAAAGTGCTTTGCAGTGAAATGGTTGTGAACCAGAGACACAGAAGCAGAGACTGTGTAGGAGAGATCAAACAAACCAGGCCACTCCAACAGAGACTTAAAGATCAATGTGTATCTCTTTTTCTGCGCCCACACAAGCGTTATTTCCATTTTACCAATGGCAGAGCAGTTCCTGCATTTAGCTAATATGCTCTGGATTATTCTTGGCTAGATGGACTGAGCGAAGTGAAGTAAGGAGGGTTGTGTTTTTAGTAAACATCTGAAAATAGTGTAAATGCGTCATTTAAATTGCCCATATTTTGTTTCCTTTTTGTTTTGATTTTATCCCTGTTTTCTCTTTTTCTCTTTCACTCTCTCTCAATACGAACTTTTACACAATAGTATATTATAATGTAAAAGAGATATAATAGCTATTAGAATAACAATAAACAAGGAAATTAAATGAAATAGAATAGGGAAACAGGAACTAACAGGGATTTAATTTAAAAAAATAAAAGTCCAATCATCAAAAATAAAACAGAATATACCCCATACAGTCTGCCCTCTTCCCAGACATGTCCTCACACACACAGGCGTAAAGTAAAAACAAGAAAATCTCATTTACAACAGAATGGAGTTACACTTTTGCCTTGATTTGCTCCCCGATGTCTTTTGCATAGTACTCTATTTGTCGAGTGATATTATTTACAGTTTAAAAACACAAATTCATTTATATTTAATTAAAACACTTGATTTCAATTTGCTTTTTTGTAGCAAAATAAACAAATTAATTTAGGTCTAATTAGAAATGACGATCTCTGTAAAAGGCACTGCCCCAACCCCAATGCGATAGTGGGAGAAAAAGGTGACAATGGGCCAACTTTGGCCTGCGGGCCCTACTTTGGGTATTTCACTCTGCTATAGATGCACAGAAGCTGCTGGAAGAACAATTCAAGGGGGATCCGGCAAAGAGACGATTAAGAGCAGAGCTTAGTGTAACTCTGGATTGAACCTGTTAATCAAATCACTTTTACTGTCACATCATCAGCAGCACATGCACTATGAGGAGTGACAAGCTTAGGTGCTGGCTCCAGACAGTGCAAAATACAACAACATACTCCAAAAAACAAAACTATTTACTTTTAGCAGTGTTGACAGTAATACGTAAAAGACAATAAATCTGTGAATGACAATAAACATATAAATGCTTTAAATACGTTAAAATAACGCTAAATACATTAAAATACGTTTCAAGAGTTCATATACAGTAAATTGAGTTTGGCATGCTGTCCAGGACGAGAGCCCTAAGCTCATAAGTTCCTCGCGCACGGGGCTCCCTCCAGTTTGCAAGTCGAGAGGGGAGTTTGAGCTTAGGTACTGTAGGTCTTGAGAACTCCCCCTTTGTTAAGAGCTGATGGCAGATTATACTTGCTATGTAGAGTTATACAGCCTGCTGGTTAAGACCTTGACCATAGTGCTAATTTAGATTGACCAATTCACTTATGACACGTTGGAATGTGGGAGACAACTGGAGAACACGGTGGAAACCCACGCGAGCAAGGGAAGGACGTGTAAACTCACGACAACTGCCTGTTGAGGATTTGAACCAGTGACATTCTTGCTTTGAGGCAACAGTGTTTATCACCGGGCCACAGTGCCACCCTATGAAGGGAAAGATGAAGGAGTAGGGGTGGAAGAGTAGATTTGTCAAGGCAAAGATGACTGTAGTAAGAAACCCTCTCTATTTATAGTGAGTTGGGAATCATCTGATTGGTGAATTATGCATCGTTTAATGTGAAACCAGTCGTGTTTAATAAAAAAAAATCATGTGCTTCTCTCAAAATTAGTTTAAAAAATAAACTTGACTAAGGGAACTGACTCATGAAGTCAGAGCCAAAGGTTGGGAGACCAAAAATGACTTTGTTACAAGGTAACATTTACGACTCAAAGCCTAATGTGGAGCCACTTAAGGTACTGAGACAGGGATTTGGCAGGACAAGGTGATGAAGAGGAACCGAGGTACAAGATGGTGCCTGAGAAAGGAGAAACCTAATAAAGTTCAGGGTGTACATAGAGCTGCCAGAGGTCCAGAATGTTTTACTAAAACCAGAGAAAAATGCAACGAAGGCAGAGCTGGAGGGCCAAAATGAGTTCAGTGGAGCCCAAGGCCTGTCATTAGGGATGTCCAGATCCGATCATGTGATTGGAAATCGTGCCCAATCACGCGGTTTCAGACTCGATCGGAATCCGACTGTACCTCCCGATCAGGATTCAAATAATAATACAGAGTTTTTTAAATGTTAAAAGAAGATGATTTAAATAAAAAATAAGAAACATCATGGATTAGTTTCTTCGCTCTTCTTTATTCTTTTTGTATGTATTATAGAAGTATTGGATCGGGTTTTGGTATCAATACATGACTCTGACTCGGACTCAAGGGCAAAAACACCTGATCAGGACATCCCTACCTGTCATACCATAAAGCTGATGCAGAGAAGAACTGGTGCATAGTCATGTGCCACTGGTCTCTATTAGCTGTGAGGACAGGGGCGTATACCCATGCTGGGAATAAACTCTCAGGATTTTACTGCAGACATCAAGGTCTATGACTCATCCATGCCCCAATTCTTTTTTCTCCCTCACCTCTACAGTTGTATGTTAGACCTTGTGCTTGACTAGACTTCCTTTGAAACTACAGCTTTACCTTGTTTTCTTGCTTTTCTGGATTTGCCATGGAATTCAGGCTAATAAAGTTGATTTGGTTTAGCCAGGGGCCCAGAGTTCCAATTGAATATGAATGAATATTCTGATAGGATGTGGCTTAGTAACAGAGGTGCTCTAACATGGTTGTTAGTGCTGGCTTTGGGCTGGTGTTGTCCTCCTCATGGACCTTACAGATGATGTAAGGAGACCTGCAATATTCTGGATTATCTGAAGAGGTTTAAGTGTTCAAGATGAAAATCCAGTAAGAAGAGCATTACGGTAGTCCAGCCTAGAAGTGACAAGAGCTTGGACAAGAAGTTCGACATGCTCAGTTAGCAAGGGGTTCTGATGATGTATAGTGCAAACCTGCATGCGTGTGTGTGTTTTCAATGTGATGCTTAAAGGACAGCTGGTCATCAAAGGTCAGTGTTGAACTGGATGGGATAATAGCTGATGATTCTAGCTGGATGGAGTAATTATGTTAAACAGCCAGAGTTGCAGGTAAGTCTAGAAGTTTTGTTCTGTCATCCAGGAAGTGTGATATTAGTGCAGCTAT